ATTCGAAAATATATTAATACAAAAGTTTTAGTGATCCAATGATTTTTTTTCTCACATTAATTTAAAAAATCCTAAATTACCGACCTTATAATTATATACTTCCTCTGTCCATGTGTATTTGTCAACTTTTGACTTTTTTTGTCAAAATTGGTAAATTTTGACCTCAAATTAAATAAATTTTATATTGGATATTGATACAAAATTAGTTTAATTAGATTTATTATATCATCCATTTTCAAAATATTTTTTATGTACTTGATATATAATATATATTTTATTTAATTCTAAGTCAAATATTGAAAANCCCCCCCCCCCCCCCCACAATGATTATAAAAAGTTATTATTCATTCTTGCATTATTAAGAAACAAAATCTTAAATTAGTAATCGTAAATCTCTATGATTAAAATTTTAAAATATTAAGAATCAATTATTCTTCTCCCCCACATTTATTTTAAAAAACATTAAAATTTTAGTGCTCTAATAATTTTGTCGGGATAGTATTCTGGTCAAGATATAAAATGTTCTATCAAAATACAAATAGTTACAAATTGGAAATTGTATTTTCTTTGATGTGGTTGTAACCTGTAACTAAGTCTCGAACTTATTAGCTAGTGCACTTTGGATTTTCTGCACAATTTTTCCTAATTTTTTGATTATCCTAAATCTTCATTGTCACAAATTTTCTCACGCTCCCCTCCACACCTTGATAATCTTTGTCACAATCTTCTTTGCATAAATCTGTGCCGTCTCATAAAATATCATCTTATGAAGTTTCCATGTACGGTTGCGTAAATCAAAACGTAGGAAGTAAGTTCTCTCTCATTCAAAATTTCTTAATCTTATTTATAAACATTTTGAATTGTAACACAATATAAGTATGTACTAAGTAAATTGTAAGTTACAATATAAGATTATTTTAATTAAAAATAGTAAACCAAGTTACCAAGATAAAGTATAAAAGCGCTATTAAATCTTTTTTCTAATTTGTTTATTTTAAAAATTCAATATTTTAAAATAGTCAAATTGCATGGAAAAACTTTTATTTCATATCACAATTAGTCATCTTGCCATAAACAAAACTTCTATGTAAGATATGCATTGAGTCAATCTCATAGTAGACATATTATCCAGTTGTCTAAAAATAAAGTACATAATCATGACACATATAATTATTCCTTAAAAAATATAGTCTTAAGTCTTTTAGTCACCTAATTATAAATTATAAATTTCTTTGTGTAATCTCGAAATAGTCTCTTCGAATAATGTATTTTCTAAAATCAGTGTTTTTAAGCATTAATTATCTATGGAGTACTTTATAGTTGAGATTTATTCACTCAGTGTCTTCCGTATATGTTTCTTAGATGAATGTTCAATGAGGGAAATTTAGGTATTTTCAACATTTAAATGAAGAGTAATTTTTCAAAATGACCCTTTCGGATTAGCCTTTTGCTAATTTAGGTCTCCGTTATAATAATTATAATTTTATCCCAATTGTACATTTAGGGCATCTTAATGTGTTGTGTCCTTCTATTAGCCACTCATGTTTAAGCTAGTAAATTTTAAATGAGGATTACCTCGCCTCCGATACCCTGGCCACTTTACATCTATGTAAAATTTTAATAGAATTCGTGTATGAAAAATACGTGATTCCTTTTTTTTTTGAAATAGTGTTTTGTTGTATATATCCCATGCAAATATTTTTTGTGTTTTTTTTAAAAGTGCTTGTTGTGACTTCAATGAAGTCAAAAGTGAAATACCTATGATTATTTTTAAATGTTTTTGTAATTTTTCTTTGTGAAAACCCTTGTAACTATATTTGTTTTGCTCTTTGAAACTAAATTCATATCAAGTGAAAAAATTTTGGTATGTAAAATATATGTGATTGTTTTTATGTGATAATTTTTTAAAATTTTATGTGAAAAATGTAACTATTATTTTAGAAGTTGATTTTAAAAATTTATACTATTATTTTATTATTTTAGAAGTTGATTTTTTTAAAAAAGAATTTTAGTTCTCACTCAATTGCATAAAACTTCATGTATTGTTCTAATTTCTTTAACAATACTCCCTTTGTGTTTGGATTTGATCTTCTCAATTGACTTCTCTTGTCAATTTTGTATACTTTAACACCAATATACAGAACAAACTTTGTCTTTCGGTAGAAATGCATTACAAATATCTTCTTTTTGAAACTAAGAAATCTCTTAATATTTGGTGACTCCTATTTTGGAGAAAAAAATGTATTTTTATTACAATATTTTCTCCATGTTTATTCTTATTCTGGTACAGAGTAATTTTTTCCAAAAAATTATAGCAACACTGTACATAAGACAAATACTCCGTATACAATTTAAATTGGATCTACTCATATTTTGATTAAAATTGTCACGTCATTCAATCGTTAATAGGTGGTCGGTAATCTGTTAAAATGTTGCCATGTACATTCGTCACTTCTCGCAATTCTAGGAGATTAACTCTCAAATTTGATATGTAAAGATTCAGAAATATTTGTCAAACTTTTAATTTCATATTTTCCACATCAAAATCTATGTGACATATTAGGCGTTAAAAAGAGGCTCATGAGTAAGCCACATGTCAGTTCTGAATTACCCGAGTCTCATTTTTATACATTTAGGAAAAGATAAAAAATTGCATATTTTTCCTAATTTTTTTATGTTCATTATATTTATATATTTGGCTATTTTAATTGTATGAGAATAATATTAAATATAAACTAATTATTATTAAAATTGTACTTTTTTCCTAAAAAAATTACTTTTTAAAATCTGCACTAAGTTAAAATTTATACTGAAAAAATATATTTTAAATTAACTAATCATCTACTTGTGTTCAACTTTTTATTCTTTCTAAAAAATATTGTCAAACTCGACAATGAATATTTTGATCTAGTTTTTAAATATTATATTAAATGTATTTGAAATTAATATATTGGTGAAGTGTGTATCTTATCTACCATTATAAGTTACGTTGTAAATGAAAAAAAAAATTATTCGCATTAAGTTCAGTAGTCAATATAATTTTTGAAGAAATATGATATTTTTTTTATATTAAATAAAGTTATTATAATAATAATTAGATCAAAATTTTATTACTAAATGTTAAAGGTTCTCATTTTTAATTTGTTTTAATTTATTTTTATTTTTCTATAAAAATGATTTAATATCCTTTTTATTCAATTGACTGATTTTTAAGCTTAATTGGAGCCCGAGCAAAATATTATGGTAAAAATTTTACTGAAAATTTTGTTAGTTAAAAAAGAAACTTTTCTTTTTTCCATTAATAGTTTTTATTTTATGCAATACTATATTTATGTTTCACTAATTTTATTATGTTACATAATTTCTTTTATTATATCATAAATTAGTCGAAGGAAAATTCGATTCAATTCTCTTGATGACATGGCTGATTAGGTGTCAAAAAACATCCTAGTCATCACGCCAAATGTCGCAATTCTGAGAGTTCAACTCTCAAATATTATATATAAAGGATAAAGGATGTGTGGTTAAAATTTGTAGACTTGTGCAAATAAGGATCTGGGCCGGATCTAGGCCGGGCTTGATACAAATTATTAGACCATTTGCATGGGCGGGCTTGGCCCGGCCCAGATTTGATGGGCTAAACTCATTACCCATACCCGCCCACCTTAACGGGCCGAACTGCCCACCGGGCCGCCCGGCCCGGATAAAACATCAAGAAAATCTGTTTTACACAAAAAAATCAAAAAGAAAATATTGAACTCGTTTTCAAATGTTTAAAATAAAATTACCACTCGCCACATTTACATAGAAAACATAATAGAAATATTGTTACATAATTAATAAACCCATCATACATAATTAATAAACCCATCAGCCAAAACATATGTCATTTCTCAATGCAGCATTTAAACTTTTTAAATAGCACTAATGATTATTTAACTTGAGCAATGACCAGTGGACATTGAATAATGGTAGTACATTGGAAAATAAAAATATATGGTACTACATTGGCAAATGCACTATATATATTTTAATACTATTTAGGTAAATTTTTCAAATAAAAATTATAAATTATATATTTCAAAACTTCTATAAATAAGATAAAATGTAACATTAGTATTTTATTTTATCAAATCATGAACGAAAATAGTAATTGTGAGAATAAATTCAAGACACAAAAAACTCTCCGTATTAAAAAAATCTAAAAAGTGAAGATAAACAGGGAGAGGAGTATCGAATACGTGACCCATTTGGTAGCATGTTCTTGCCTCGGGAATTGATTAGGCGCCGCTCAATTAGGGATAACTCTCGACAAGATTTGGGCAAGATCCACATAAACTTGGAATGAAGACACGAAGTTGGAAGCATATTATTGCCATTTTGTTTGGATTCATATTTTACTTATATCTATGTTGGATAATTTTTAACTCTTGAAATGTATGAATTTGAGACAATGGGATAATGACTCAAAGACTTGGAGGGCAGTGGCGGATCCAAAAATACAAAGGAGTGGGGTCAATTTTTTGCTTCGGCAACATTAGGGTACATTATAAATTTTTGGTATTAAAAATAATGATACTTCATATAAAAAATAAATGACATTAAAAGTGACATGAATATTAAAAAATGGAAAATTTTTCCGTGCACCTAAGGTCCATGCTTATTTTATGGACCTTACACTACCAGAAAATGCCAAAAGGACGACGGAAAATGGCGACAGATTGCATTTTGACGCTAATAACTATAGAAACAGTGACGGACTGTACTCGCCTACTAGTTTTCACGACGTATTTATAGGTTTGTCGTTAAGTATATGCGAGAAGTAGTGCGCGACGCCCCATATAACGACGAAATCGTGTTATGGATAGTAAAGTAGGATATTTAATAGTATTATTATTATTATTATTATTATTATTATTGTAATGTAGATTTTATTAGGTGAGCGAAATTATAAGCTCCTTGAGTGATATTTCCTTGGAGTTAAAAAGTTTCAAAATAAGGATGATGAACGCTATAAGGAATCTTCTTGGCATTCCCATTGTTCCACCTGATTTGGTCCCCACAACAACTCTACACAATCCTACATCTACTGACATGGAATCTGTGGAGCGTACGGTTGGGGATTCAGTGAGAGTCCCTGCTGCTGATGGTGTTTCTATTGAAGGTATTGTTAATGCCTTTCCATCAGATCTTGTAGTTGTTGATACACACGTAGATGCATCGGGTAAGGGAGACGTTGCAAAGGATCAAACATTGAGCAATGTCATCATCGCATGTAGCCTTGTGTCTCCGTCCAAAACCACTCAAGTAGCAGATGTGAATTATACGCAACCAGAGATCTCACTGTCCTTTGATATCATCCAGTCCTCTGGCCATGCGAATATAGTGGAGTCCGAGTATTGGGTTTCACCGCAGGTAGCTAAGTTTGCATTTGCTCTTCTCTCTTATGTCCATCGCTATACTCCAATTTGCAGGCTTAATGACGATCTATCATCAAGTGGGCATACTCTTTGGGTCAACATTTTCTCTCCAGTCTCGAAGCATGAGTGGGAGCCTCCACCTTGAGGACAAGGTGGTTTTCTAAGGGGGTGAGAGTGTTATGGATAGTAAAATAAGATATTTAATAGTATTATTATTATTATTATTATTATTATTATTATTATTATTATTATTATTATTGTAATGTAGATTTTATTAGGTGAGCGAAATTATAAGCTCCTTTGAGGTTTCTTTACGGTTCTTTCCCTCGTCGCTTTTATTGAACCGTCAGGTTAGCGTTAGGGTTTCCTTTTTCCCTATATAAAGAGATGTAACCTCATTTAGAGTAAATCAATCAATAAACAATTCAAAACCCTAATTCCTTCTCCCCTCTCGGTTCGCCGATTCCCTCTTCGCCTCAATTCTTCTTCTTCTTCCTCGTCCCATATTCTCAAGAGCTCGAAGACGCTCTGAGTCTTCCCTATCCGATATGAGTCCGTATCAAATCGTTGCGTCCTCATATGGGCGACGGAAAAAAACCGTCGCCTAACGCCACTTAATTAAGTAAAACACTGTGTTTTGATTTAGTGACGGTTTTTTTCATTGCTACATTCCATCTCTTCGAGTCAAATCTTAAAAACACCTTCATTGTAACTTGTATGGGTTTATGGACAGAAACAACGTAGAAACAAGTCGGGCTAGCAAGTTGCCGTCCAGCAGCTCCCCGCCACCGTCCGCCACCGTCAACACCTTCAAATCGCAGTATGCTCTTTTCAATTGTTTATACAGTTCAACTTGTAAACAAATTCGGCTACAGATTATCCTTTTATATTTGAATAAACAATTTTTATTGTTTAATGAGAAAAAAGAGTACATTATATCTAAATTATCTAAAACTTTGTTTTAATTTTATAATTATTTGAGATTAGGGTTTTTTTCAAAATTTACTCACTTTGTTTTTTAAAATTAATTATATTACATTCTTAAAATTTTTAGTGAATGAATATTGTGCTTATTTATTGTGTAATAGCTTATTTTAGATATTGTAATGTTATTTGAGGATTGTGTATGTAGAAAGTATGTTGTAGTTATTGCATTTATATTATATTGTTTAATATTTGTTTTTTTTTTAAATTCTATTACTTAATTATATGTTGATTTTATTTGTATGGTCTTCCCAGAATGAGTGACTTTTATTTACGAAAATCGGGATTTGGTGTATAAAAGACTTGATAGTTTAGGCATTATAAATACAGATTAGGTTGAGAAGGTAAGACAATTTATTGAGTTTCGTGAGTCAAATCCAAAAGTGGATTGTAACACCCCGGACGTAAGTGTCTGCTCATAGGATTGTATAATGGTCCCCACAAACCAACACAAGTCTTTCCCACACACTTTGTCCTCACTCGTGCACGCCCAAGGAGCTCCCCAGGCTGTCACCCATCATAAGATTGCTCCATGTCAAACACGCTTAACTTTGGAGTTTATTTCTAGGTGATGAGCTATCAAAAAGAAGATGCATCTTATTTGTATGAGTAGTACTATCAATCCTTTTGAACTATTTCATTTCCCAAACCATTTATTTTCAACTCAGGGTATTACATTAACCCCACTTAAGAATGCAACGTCCTTGTTTCATCCTTTTTTAAGCCCCTATATCTTCCCTGCTATGTGAACTAAGCTCTTTTGGCGCGTCACTGTCGCAGCATTGCTCTGATACCATTTATAACACCCCGACCCCAACCCTGGTAATAAGTGTGTCCTCATATGATTGTACACTACAAGAAAACTGCTGATCTGCCACGGACAATTTCCGTTGCAGAATTTGAAATTCCGTGGCAGATTTAACTTCTGCGACGGAGCTGCAACAAAAATGTTCCGTCGCAGAAAAGTTGTGGCAGATTTAAAATCTGCGACGGAATTAAAAATCCGTGGCAGATCTGTGACGGACCTGCAACGGGTTCGTCTTTTTTTGCAACCCCAAGAATCTGCGACGGAATTGAAAATCCGTGGCAGATTTGCGACAGACATATCGACGGAAATAGCCGTTGCAGATCTGCAACAAAAACAGCGACAGATTTTGCCCTCGCAGATCACCTGATCACACACACAGATTTTTATTGTTTTTAGGCAGTAGCTATTAAAATGGCGGGCAAAACACATTCAATTTTTCACACACATAATTCTAAGTAAGATTACAATACGAAATAGATAATTCAAAACTAGATTGATACAAACTTCACGTGCAAGTGTAACATAATTCATAATATTGTAAAAACACTAAATATTAAAGTGTTAATGTCAAATGTCAAAGGTGTCAACGAATCCCGGGCTGCCCAGCCCCTCCCGTTCCATCATCATCGCCTCGTAGAGGAAGGTTACCACCATATAACTTCCTTATCTCCTTCTGAATCGTCAGTTATAAGCTCATTTTGTCTAGCCTTTAAGCCCATTCTGTCAAGCCTCCTCATGCAGTTTGAAGAATTGGGCCTGCAATATATGAAAGTTAATAACAACGTAACAATAATAGCGTCAAGAACAGCAAGAACAACAACATGAACAGCAACTAAACAACATCAACAACAACACAAGAGCAGTGTCATATTGCAACAACAACACCATCAACGCAACAACAAAAGCCGTGTCATATGACAACAACAACACCATCAACGCAACAACAAAAATAGTGTCATATGACAACAACACCATCAACGCAACAACAAAAATAGTGTCATACGACAACAACACCATCAATGTAACAACAATAATAACAAGACGATTAATAATAACATCAACAACAAGAATAACGTCAACAAAAACAATTCAATTACACAAGAAAGCAAGTACATTATCACCCTTTAGAAGTTTTAAGACAAAAACACCAACATTATGAGCATGAACCTAAATTGTTTTGCAAGTTACAGAAAGTACCTGTAGCTCAGCATGTCTCGGATACAAATCAACGCTTAGCGCTCTCATCCGCCATCATCATCGCAATACAAATCAATTAAACATGCAGTGGAATCTACAAAGCCTAGCTCCAAATCCTACTAACACAACTTCCTCAACTTCCCAGCAGTTATTCACCGCCGCGGACCATTTACACAAAAAACATAAAATCGAAAGCTTTACTCTGCTACGGGAAAAAGCTGTGGAGGAGTTACCAATTTCAAGTATCTTCTCTAATAAAACCACAAACAACAATCATTTAACTACATATATCACAAAATTCAACTAAATTTTACTTAAATTCTCAATAAACGTCAAATTAACTAACACAATTTCAACAAAAATTACAGCTTAAGTGCTATCAATTTCACAAAAAAAACNAACAAAAATAGTGTCATACGACAACAACACCATCAACGTAACAACAATAATAACAAGACGATTAATAATAACATCAACAACAAGAATAACGTCAACAAAAACAATTCAATTACACAAGAAAGCAAGTACATTATCACCCTTTAGAAGTTTTAAGACAAAAACACCAACATTATGAGCATGAACCTAAATTGTTTTGCAAATTACAGAAAGTACCTGTAGCTCAGAATGTCCCGGATACAAATCAACGCTTAGCGCTCTCATCCGCCATCATCATCGCAATACAAATCAATCAAACATGCAGTGGAATCTACAAAGCCTAGTTCCAAATCCTACTAACACAACTTCCTCAACTTCCCAGCAGTTATTCACCGCCGCGAACCATTTACACAAAAAACATAAAATCGAAAGCTTTACTCTGCTACGGGAAAAAGCTGTGGAGGAGTTACCAATTTCAAGTATCTTCTCTAATAAAACCACAAACAACAATCATTTAACTACATATATCACAAAATTCAACTAAATTTTACTTAAATTCTCAATTAACGTCAAATTAACTAACACAATTTCAACAAAAATTACAGCTTAAGTGCTATCAATTTCACAAAAAAACTAATGCAATTTTTACCCAATTTCATATCAATTTAAACTCATATTCACACAATTTCAACTAAATTTCATAAAAAATGCACTAAATTTCATACAAACAAATTCAATTTCACAAAAAATTACAATAATAATAAATTGTATAAAATTAAACTAAAATACCTTGAGAGGAAGAGGAGGTCAGGTGGGGGGAGATGGCGGTCGAGACACTGGCGGAGGCGAGTGGTGGAGACACTGGTGGCGGCGGCGAGGAGGGAGACACTGGCTGCGTGGTCGACGGCGAGGCAAGGAGGACGAGCGCCACGACGTTAACAAACCGTGCGACGGCGGCCGGCGGTCTAGGAAAGCCGCGGAGGAGATGTGTCAGTCGAAGTTGGGTGGACGGAAGATTGCTGGGTCTGGATGTCTGGATCTGTGAACTGATTTCGTCTACAGATCTAAAAGAGGATAACTCGATTTTAGTTAATTATCTGCAACGGAAATAAGTCCGTTGCAGATTCCGTTGCAGATTACACGACATGTTTACCTCACTTTATTCCGTAGCAGATCTGCGACAAAAACAAAAGTTCCGTCGCAGATAGTGTTCCTTTTTCAGAAAATATTACTCCGTCGCAGATTCGTTGCAGATCTGCTACGGATATGTGTCCGTAGCAGATTTTCGTTGCAGACCAAATAAATTCTTGTAGTGGTAGACTGGCCCCACAAACCAACACGAGTTTTTCCCGCACACTTTTTCCTCACTTGTGCGGGCCCAAGGAGCTTCCCAGGGGGTCACCCATCTTAAGATTGCTCCAGGTCAAGCACGCTTAACTTTAGAGTTTCTAGGTGATGAGATTTTGAAAAGAAGATGCATCTTGTTGGTATGAGTAGTACTATCAATCCTTTTGAGCTTTTTCTTTCCTCAAACCATTTATTTTCAAATTAGGGTATTACATGGATAGATTTAATAGGAAGATGTGTTGTCCTTATAAGATTTGTAAAAATAGATATTTTTCGAATATTGAGGACATTAAGCTTCATGTACTAAGACAAGACCTCAGTCCTAAATATCTTGATTGGGTTTGCTAGGGGGAGGAACATGGTGAGTATACGAGTGATCATCGGCACCTTAAATCTGCTCGTACCCTTGTTGAAACCGATAAGGCTAAATACATGAATATGGTGATGGATGCTGCATGGTCTTCCTTTAATCTTAACGTTCAAGTTGACGAGGAACCAAGTGCTAATGAAAAAAATTTGGCATGCTAAAAACCACAAATACCGAATTATCAAAAGGTTGTACTAAAATGTCCCAACTCTCGATGGTTGCAAGATTACTCAATATTAAGGCAGAGCACAATTTGTCTGAGAGGTGTTACGACACTATTTGCCAACTGTTCAAAGAGAGACTTCCGGAAGACAATTCCACGGTTTCTGACTTTTATGAGACAAAAAACTCATTGAAGCTTTAGGACTTCCGGTGGAGAAAATCCATTGTTGTGTCCAAGGTTGCATGCTTTTTCTAGGGCCTAGATGTTGAGCTAACTGCATGTAAAATTTGTGAAAACCCTCATTACAAAGACTCCATAAAAAAGTTACCAAATATACACATGTTCTATTTTTCCCTAACACCCTGATTGTACACATCAAAGAGAACATGTAACACCCTAATCTGTCCAGGTCTGCAGCCCATTCCGGAATAAAGTAGTAACTTGGTGATCGTAAAAATTTAAATCATTTCAAACATCTTTATTCATCTTAAATAATATTCAATACATGACTGTAGAAATACGAAGTTTTTAATAATGCGGAAGCAAATTTAAAACATGTCTCATGATAATCACAATCAATTATTTAAATCCACACATTCATCACGACCGTCTCGCCCCATTTATCTCTAGGAGTTCATCACCTCACGACCCAAATTGTTGCCTTCGTACACTTGCCCGACCAGATGGATCCGGATTTCAATGCCGCGATGTTTTGGAAGGCTCATGGTCGTGGACGGTTCTATTGTGGAGCAAGCCTAGCCAGAGACTGGGTGCGACCCTCACGGAGAATTTTGCATCATGCTTTGGTTCATAGCTACTTTGGCCGTTGCGATGACCTAGAGTGGTATTTGAGTCTGATATGTTGTTCTTCTAGAGCCTGGAGGCACGTGTGTCAGTGAATGTGGCAACTTTCTTATCTCTGGATGGTCTACTAGAACTTTAGCTTTTCTCGCTCGTTCATCATGAATTATCTTGATGGAAAAGAATTTCACCAGATGATCTAACCCAAGAAGGTGGATCAAACTATAGAATAATAATAAGAAAAATACAGAGCTTGAGACCACGATGGATGATACAAGTATTGAATTCACTGTATTGAGCTTGAAAATAACAATCGCATATTGCCTCTATTTGTAGTTATAATATTTGAATCATACATGGGAAGTGCTAAAGATGGTAGTTTAACTTGGGCCTGGTCTTCCTCCGCCATTGACGCTAAGCCTAGCAATCTCGCTCCGTCTGCGATTAGACGCAGTCAATTACGAGAAAGGCAGGATTGCTTTGATTGATCATGTGACGAGCTGGCCCAAATAAAGACTTTTAGATTAATTCAGGTATAGATGGACTTCAAGACAAGAGTCGGGTCAGCGGAGTACTGGGCTTACACCTTAACTTAAGTTGCATGAGTATTGGGCTGGGCCTAAGCTGGTTCGCCCAATAGCCCATCATATCTAACTCGTGAGTCTAACCCTATTGAAAAAATACGATTTATTTATTCATGACTTCTTGTTTGAAGATTATTTTTTATATTCATCATTTACACACTATTCTTAATCCAACTTTTCTTTTTTCATTACTAATTTTATCTTTTAGAAATTTAATAAGCGAGACCTATATTTTAATTTGGCTTATGACAGTACTCCCTTTCCCTCGATCATAAAACCCTTTACATTTTCCATTTTTTGGACGTCCGACAAAGGAATTTAATATGGAGTATTTGTTTTATTTTCTATTTGACAATAAATATGTGGCTCATAGTTTTTCTCTCTTCTAAATAAATTCTTACAGGACACTTTTTTCATACAAAAAAATTCACACTTTTTATTTTCAAACAAATTTTTTAAACTTCGTTAAAATCAAATTGTAACTTTTTATACAATGGACAGAGTATATCATGAAAACTTAAAGTCTAACAAAGATTATAAATAATTATTCCCGGTGTTGAAATTTAATTTTCATATATGATTTTTTTGTCAAAGTTTATAAATTTTGACCTCGATATGCAAGAAAAAAATAATATATTTCGTTATAAATATAATATTAATAGTTTTCTTTTGGAACATGTCTTTGAAATATTAAAATTCAGCTTGTTTCATATGACATTTACTTTAAATGTCATAAAATAACCAGACTTTTATTTTGGATTAAGCTATGTGTACCCCAACATTTATTCCCCAATTTGTACCCCGCAGGTTTGCACCAACATTTTGTGTTGGTGTAAAACTAATTTTTGTTAATGCACCGATACTTTGTGCCCGTGTAAATTTTTGTTAACGCACCAACACTTGTGTCGGTGTAAACCATCAAAATGTTTGTGCATAACTGTGATGTACATTTTTTGGTGTAAGTGTAGCATGATCCTTTTATTTTAGTACTTTATAGTTTATCCATTAAAATTCACGTTGCATCAAGGGAGCGAAATACAAAGTAAGATCATTGACCCAGATTAGTATAATCGGCCCGCATGCTGTTTTTTATTTAAACAAAGAATGAATATGACCGACCCCATGGCGTTGAATTTGCAATTTCTGCCCCACTAAACCCCACCAACTCCTAGTGGCAATAATGCAATTATTACAAGTCCATTTCCTCCCCTTCTTCTTCTCAGTCCGCATTTATATGCATCAATCTTCCTCCCTCTCTCCCCACTCCACACATTATCCTTCTGTCTATCTATCTTTAAATCTCCCCTCCGCTCAAGTTCGAATCCGTATCTCTCCCATTCTTCTCCTTCTCCTCCTCCAATGTCCCCTATTCATTCCCCCCTATAATTTATTCTCTGCTCTGCTTTTAATTTCGTCCTCACCACCCATCATATCGATCTATCTCCAGAATTCCAGACCAGTTTTAATTAATTAACTAATTAATCTGGATCTTCTCAAACCCCACATTCTTCCTTAATCGCACCATTATAAAAACCTAATCAGCATGTAACTCTGATTAATCGCCTTTTTTTTACTCCCCCCCCCAAAAAAAACAAAAAAAAAATTTGTTTAGTAATTAGTTGTGTCGTCGGTTTTATTCATCTGCTGAGGAAGAGGGACATGCCGGAATCTGAGGGAGGAACTCCGACGGCGTCTGCGCCGGCGACTCCGGGGACGCCGACTCCGCTATTCACCGCCCTGCGGGTGGATTCGCTGTCTTACGACCGGAAGTCGATGCCCCGGTGCAAGTGCTTGCCTTTCGACGCCCCCACTTTTGGGACGCCTCACTCCTGTCTCCTCCCCGACTTCCCCGCCCCGGACGTCTCCCTCTCCCGCAAGGTAATTTTATTCTGGATTTGATTTTGGTTTGATTTTATTTTGGATTTTAATTTGAATATTCAGAGTCCCAAGAGTCTTTTTGCTAATCCACAACACGGTCTTGTGTCACAGTATACTATTAATATTTCTATCTATAGGATACGAAATTTACAAAAAAGAGGCACAGTTATCTCATTTAATGGTTTCTCTGGATTGCGGAGTAGAATTTGAAATTCTATCTGGGGATGGCGGGAGTAACTACTCTTCCTTCCTTTTGGATTAGAAAAATTAACTTTCTTTCTTCATTTTTATTTATTTTCTTTTCCGTTCTTTCTAAATCCTCTCATTTTCTTCTAACAATGGCTTAGAAAAGTATTAATCTATTATTAATATAAAATAACATTATGGTCCTTCCGTTCAAAAATCTTTCCTCGGTTTGACGGACGTTAAGAAAAATTAAAAAGTATAAAGACTTTTCATGTTTTGCTTTTGGTGTGATTGAATAAAGTAAATAGTATAAATAAAACGTGGGTATAATGGTACATTCATTAAAAGCTCTTTACCAAAATAGGTTAAAAGAAAGAAAATTTTAGATGACTCAAAAAAAAAGTGAGAAAGAAATTAATGGAAGGAACAAATATAAATTCAAATTTTTAATATATCACCTCAAACACTTGATAAATTCTTTTTTATCAAAAATTAACTTTTTTTTACATATTTATTTTGATGATCATTTAATTGAGTGATTTTTTAGCACTTTAATTTTTTGAATATTTTCTAACTTTTAGTTTTTTCTAAGCCTTCTAGTTTCTTCCAATATTTCCAACTGTGAAATTTCAATTCCAAAGAATAGGGCCTTCATCCATGTCCCTCTAAGATCTCTTCGTTCTAACTTTTTATAATTTTAGGAAAACGTGAAGTATATTAAATGAAGTGGGTAAAGTATAATAAACAAAATAAGTTTTGATATTTATGATATTTTAATTATTAAAAAAGATAATGAAAAGATTTATAGAAGACAATTGAAAAGGGTTAATGGAAATTCTTAAAGAGGATAGAGGGAGACGGGGAGTATATACTCCTCTTTCGGAGTAGATATGAAAGTACTCCTCCATCCCATATTTTCGTGTCAGTGTACAATTCTACTCCCTTCGTCCCTAAATATTCACAACATTTGTTTTTTCAGCAGTCGCGGGAACTTTTGTTTATTTCGATGTTTTCATTGGTAATTTGATAAAATAAAATATTCTTGACACCTCTTATTTCGAAGAACTTTTCGTGTAGTTTTTTTATATGTAATTTTATTTTTTATTTCTATACCAATATGTAAATAAAATGAATTGAAAAAATTTGATATTTTGCCTCGGGAATACAAATGTGGCAAATAATTTGGGACGGAGGGAGTAATTTCATTGGATTTTTTTTTCATAACCTTTATGATAAAAGAAAATGTTTTTATCATTATTCTTTTTGTTGAATTTTTGATATAGTTTTTTAATATGTAAGTTTTTTATATATATATACCAATATTTAAATAAAATAGATTGGAAAATTTTGAGATATTTTTTCATTTTACGCAATGTAATGAAAGATATAGGACAAAGAAGTATATGTATACTCCTTATTTCGGAGTATATGAAGTTGGGGAATAAATGAAGTTATTAAGTTAACTAAGTAGCATGATTGAAAATAATTTGAAAGTGACATGCATATTGATTGCGGGATTATTTCAAAAAAGCAGCCTCTATTAATGGAAAATGAGAGCAATAAACCTATTGTATATGGTGTGGGTATTGGTAAAATAGTGATGGATGGCCGGCGAAAAACACAGTGCCTTTCTCTATCTTTTTCCACATCACCCACAAGCAATATAACGGGGCCCAATTTTTTTATTTTTTTCTTTGGCCCGACTTTTGTCAATATCATGAATTTATATTCCCTATTCCTCCCATATCTCTCTTCTACTTTGGCTTTTTTTGGTTGCAACACGCAACACTTTCAATATTAATATTTTTATTTTTGTATATATCTATATTAAAAACACGGAGCACGGTATTTCAAAATTCCATTGCAAAATAAATCTTTTGATATTGAATTTACATCATAGTTCAATGCAATGGCGGACCCAAAAATACTAAGAAGTGAAGTCAATTTTTTTGTTCGAAATTATTATTGTAATTATCAATTCTCTGTATAAAATGTAGAAAGATGCATGTAAAATAATGATACTCTACATAAAAAATCAACAACACTAGAACTAATTTGAATACGGAGTATTAAAAAACGTGAAATTGTATGTTTGACACTCTTACACTAATGTAGGAGAATAAACGGGAATATTGTAAATCACATTAATAAAAAAGATATTTATTATAATGTAAATTAAATATAATTAAATTTATTTTAACTATTAAAAACGTGAAATTGTATGTTTGACACTCTTAAGATATTTTTTTCACTTTATGAGTCTATTTTAGTTACTTATTCAGTATTTGTTAAAAAAATGTTGTCGTCTCTACTCAAGTTTTGTAGATCTTTTGATATAGTTTTTATATATATAAATTTTATTTTTAAAGTCCACACCAATTTTTCAATAAATTGAATTGAAAATAACCTCAGTCAAATATCGTAAAACATGGCAGAAAGTTACTTTTAGGACGTATGGAGTATTTTTTTTTTTTTTTTTTGCAAATGGTCTTCCCCTTGATTTGGAGTTAATGTGTTAAGATTTACTGGAATTGAAAACAAAATCGCTTTGGATTTAAAAAAGTTAAGATAGACGAGAAATCGCTTATTTTAAAGAGACCAAAAACATATTCAACAATAATTTAAATTAAATAAAAGTTACTCCGTAGTTGAATGACCATTTGCAAAATCCTGTATTTTCCAGGGACTACTTAATTATAAAATATTTTAAATGAACTAAGAGCAAAGTAGCTCTTTTTACAGAGAGTGAAAACATATTTAACTCATTTAAGAATTAGATCAAATTAAAATGCTACAATGTTATATAATTTCATCAAATGAGAATTGAAAATAAACAAAAATAAAATATCAAAATTTGGTAACATGAATAATGAGTGATTAACGGATGGAGTGTGAGTCTATCTTTACATTCTACACCGTATCAAATAAACGGGGACCATATCCTTTATTCCATATTTCCACAGTTAAAGGGACACCGGAAAGAGAATAAATGAATTATAACATTGCCTTATCGGGAGAGATTGGATGAAATGGAGGGAAGGTATCAATATAATCAAAATCAATATTTATGGCTTTATGCAATGCTCATTACTCTCTCCGTCCCGTTTTAAATCGCTTATTTTGACTTTTGGGCATATTTAAGGAAAAGAGAAATAGAGTTGATTTTCCGAAATTGCCATTACTTTTTAGGAGGGTTGACGATGAATTAGAAGATAAGATGAAGAAGGGTGACTTATTTTAGGGGTAGTTTAGGTATTTTATTTTTAAAAGTTTACGATAACAACTAACAGACAACTTATTTTGAGACGGAGAAAAAAGGCAAACATGCAATTTAAATTGGGACAGAGGGAGTATTTTTCATTCGTCCACAAGGAGAATGTGTTAGTTTTTCACTTTTCTTTGTTAGTTTTTTTTATAGATCATAAATTTTTCCTCTAAAAAAAAGCCTAGAAGAGTTAGGTTAAAATAATTTTGGAATGACATCAAAGTTAACCACAATAGAATAAAAAAGGTTGAGCCTCAACTCCGAGGGCTCCTTCATACCCCTTTGGTACGGTCTCAGTGACAAGGTAAATTAGACTTTAATCGCAGATTGATGATAAAGAGTGCAAGCTGCACTTGGTATTTACAGAACCCATATGTTTAACATAATTATCTCTCAGTGCAATTATCAGAAATCGAACTCAAGTTTTACTTCTTTGATATTTCTTATCTTTGTTAACTGAGCAACGTCCATGGGTGTGTAATTGTTTACACGGGGTATGAGACAAGTAGTGGTGTCAAATATCATTCCTCCGCCTAAATTGAATGGAATGAATATAAAATCAAATGAGTGAGTAATGTTGGTTGATTTTGAAATGTAGTGGGAACGATGTGACGATTCAATAGCTGTACATTTTAATTGGAATACAATAATTGTGCAAGACTAATTAGATAACAATGATTGTGCATATAATTGACAATACTAGAATAAATATATTTTTAATTAAAATTTATTTAAAAATTAATATAAAAGTTAATATTAAAGTCATATACCGAGTATGTAAAACCTATAAAAAAAATTCTACAAAATAAAGGAGAAAAATGCTATAGGGATTAGGGAGTATAAATTTACTCGGGTATAAGACAATGACAAATAGTGAATATTTGTAAAGAAAGATGTCATTGACTTCGAAAATAGTAAATATGATTTTTTTTATGGATGAATACAGTATAATTTGAACAAAATTGCTAGAGGTATACCAAAATATATATCCCAAGTGAACCCCAAATCATTTTCACCATACAATTAAGTATTGATATAAAAAAATAATGTATGGTTAGAATGTACAGTGTACAAATAGGATACACTATTTGGGTTATGATTGGCGGTGACAAGTTGTGATAGGCGGATGATTAATACGGACTATATTATGATAAAATTTAGGATGGGGTATGGACAACTGGATTGGATAATAAGACACTTGGGTTGAACCACATTAAAAGATTGAATCCAATCGATTAGCTAGTTCAACTCAAGGGCTTATATACCGGTTTATTTCCTCTTCAAGTTCCGATGTGGGATGCTCTTTAACACTCCCCCTCAAGTGGACAACCGGGCCATTTTGAATCTAACCGGTTGACCACTTGCAAATGGACTCCCATCCCCTTGATTTTTTTTTGAGCGCCAACACCTAAAGGACCACGAGCCGATGGGTATGGACTTCCAGACAAGCAATCGTGTTAAACAGGCCACAGGCCGTTGGGTACATACTCCATACGGACAACTGGGCTAAAGACAAACGGGCCGCTAGGAATGAACATCTAGACGAACACCTTGACAAACGAGGTGGGCTAAAACTGGCTTTGATACCATGATAAAATTTAGGATGGGGTATGGACAACTGGATTGGATAATAAGACACTTGGGTTGAACCACATTAAAAGATTGAATCCAATCGATTAGCTAGTTCAACTCAAGGGCTTATATACCGGTTTATTTCCTCTTCAAGTTTCGATGTGGGATGCTCTTTAACATATTAATTAGATATATAGTACCCGTTAATCTTTATTAACTTTCTTTGTGTATTCTCATCAGTCATTTGGTTAGATAACATAATCATATTATCTCTAGCTCAAAAATTCATATCTTATTTATAATTTTTTTATATAGTTTTTAAATATGTAGATCGTAATTTTAAATTTTACATTTATAATTTTAATAAATTGAATATAAAAATAATTTTAATTAACCATGTTAAACCAGGAAGAAAATTTTAAGACTACTCGGCATGTTTTTAGTATGATTCACTTAATTTCCTGTTTATTTTAACAGTTTTAAGAGGATATATGACTGTGAGTGACGGTCCCTTGCAATTGATTGTGTAGCTAGCGGCGGAGTTCGTGGGAACATTCATCCTCATATTCGCCGCAACAGCGGGACCCATAGTGAACCAGAAGTACAACGGCGTGGAGTCGCTGATCGGAAACGCCGCATGCGCCGGGCTTGCCGTCATGATCGTCATCCTCTCCACCGGCCACATTTCCGGAGCTCATCTCAACCCGTCCCTCACCATCGCCTTCGCCACGCTCCGCCACTTCCCGTGGGCCCAGGTGCCCGCGTATATAGCGGCGCAGGTGTCTGCGTCCATATGCGCATCCTTCGCTCTCAAAGGCGTCTTCCACCCCTTCATGGCCGGCGGCGTCACCATCCCTTCTGTCGGCACCGCCCAGGCTTTCGCCCTCGAGTTCCTCATTACTTTTAATCTCCTCTTCGTCGTCACCGCAGTTGCCACCGATACTCGAGCGGTATGTATCTCACTACAACATACTTGGTCCGTCCCTCCCTGAGTGTTTGTCCACTTTTGACTTTTGGAACTGTTCATCTAAGCACTTTGACTCATCAAATTCTCTCAATGTCTAAGCCAAAAAATAGTCATGTGTGATCTTGTTTGATTTGTCTAAACATATAAATTATTAATATATAATTTTTATAATTTTTTAATATACAAATTACAAGATAAAATGGATTAAAGAAGTGCATTGGATGGTGTGCAAAAATGAAAGTGGACAATCACTCAGGGACGGAGGGAGTATTCCATTTATTCTTTGGTGATGATCAAGTGACAATGGGATTCGGTGTCATCCGATGACGCTAGCACCTACGGTGCTCTGTTTAAAAAATTGATAGTTCTTACTCTTTTAACCCTGGTAAACACATCACTCTGGTCAGACCCTGAAATTACCCCCACCTCGTCAATTGGACCATCCAAGTGTAGTTGACTCTGTGGTGGTTAAATTGACTGGGTGGTGGTGTTTTTGGGGTCGGACTGGGGTGGAGGAGTTTATAGTGGGTTAGAGTAATATAATAAAAACCATCAATTTTTCGAACATAGAATCGTAATTCAAATGAGTCAATGTCATTGTCAGTTGTCTCCATTGTCCTTGGAACCGACCCGTTTATTCTTTTTTAATTGACCATTATGACTATCTTCATACATGAAAAATGAATGAAGCACAATTACTTTGTTGCAATTTCATTTGATAATTTATCAGGTGGGAGAACTGGCAGGCATTGCTGTTGGAGCTACCGTTATGCTAAACATCCTCGTAGCCGGGTGAGTCTAATAAGTTTATTAATGATATGTTAGGAAATTTGGATTTGGATTTGATTCAAATTCTATGTTTGAAAAACTTAAAAAAATTGAATTTGAATCTAAATTCCTTTTCATTCCTAACAAAACTCAATTTGTAATCCATAGACCTCACATTATTATTTAAAATTCAAGAATTCAAATTTTAGAATTGAAATAAAATGCTAGCTCCCAAACATAACCTAAAGTAAATTACAAATTTTTAAAATGTGGTGGTTTTCATCTCTTATGTAATACCAAAACTTGGTAATTAATTCGATCAATAATGGTGGTTGCGTGCAGGCCGTCGAGCGGTGGTTCGATGAATCCAGTGCGTACACTTGGGCCGGCAGTGGCAGCAGGGAATTACAAGTCAATATGGATATACCTTGTGGCACCCACGCTCGGCGCCCTCGCCGGAGCCACCATCTACACGGTGGTTAAGCTTCGAAAAGAGGATGCACCCGTCAGCCACCCCAGGAGCTTCCGCCGCTAGCTAGCTAGCTAGCTAATTATCAGGCCGCTCCCGGGCCCGGCATGTATCCATCGGAAAAGCATATTGTAAATATATAATTATTTGCCATCCAGTGATCGACTTCAAGTTGTGTTTCCTACCGGTACGTTGTGCTAAGGTATGTGTCGTCGTCGTCCTCTTATCAGAATAAATTTGCATGACAACACCATCATGTAATCGTGTGTCAATAATGAAGTGGAGTGTGTGGTACATACTCAAACTATATATTCACTTGTGAGATGCTGTGATATATTATACTGTACTCTATGTATGTAAATTGTGTTTCCAAATTATCGACTTCAATTACCTATATGTTAATTTTTCATCCATCATACTTAGGCTCTGCTAGGGATGGTTGTCGTGTTCCGGACGGACACCTAGGCTTCCCACCGCCACATCAAAGCCTTCTCGTCCGAGAGGTGTGGTTGCCCAACACCGGAGNAGACGAAAAAGGCGTGAGCGAAGAAGGGGATGATATGGCAGTCTCACCAATCCTGGGTCACGGGTGAACGGGGGCGGCATGGGTGGCCCGGAAGGTGTGCAACGCGGCCAATCGCAGAGGGCCCCTAAAATTTTAGGGCCCATAATTTTAAATTCATTATTAATTTTGAATTATAATTATTCTAAAATAATAAAATAGGGCTCAAAATATTAATTTTGGATCGGGTCAATTTCATTTTTTCATTTTTCGAGACCGGCCTTAGGGGGCGATGTCCCCGCAGGGTACAGCTGCCACGCAGCTTCCAATTCATGTTCTCCCTTGTCGTGACCATACTGCCTATGCAATGAGATTAGGAGTGATTTATTAAGAGGATTTTCCATAAATAGCATCATATGTTTTTATTTTCCAATATAGTATTTTTAGTCATTATCTATTAGTAATTATTCAAGTAAATGTTCATCATCACTGGATATTATTCTTTCTTCTACACATTATTAAGTGTTATTTAGAAAATAAAAAAGTTTAAGTGGTACATTGAGAAATTGAATGATGTATAATTTGGGTAATGCGTGGGGTATTTATAAAGAAATATTTGCACTAAATAACACTAAAATCTAAGTCGTTTCTTTAAATATCACTTAAGTTATTTTATTTCTTAAATAGCACTTAATAATATTCAGTGATGACTAAATAATAGCACTTTATGGGCAGACTAAATAATAGCACTTAATAATAGCACTTGAATAATGACTAATGGATAATGACTAAAAGTGCTGCATTGGGAAAAAAACACGCATGATGCTATTTAGAGAAAGTCATTATGTTTTAGTGCTATTTACATAAATTTCCCATTAACAAATATTACTCTGTAAGAATTAAGACTAATCATAAATAAGAAAGAGACGAAACTATATGAATGTCTTGTATGTTGTGTATTTGATCCCTTCTCCTGGTGTGGAGAGAGTGCGTGCATACATAAATAAGTTGGGTAGTTATGATCCTCAAATCGTGGAGCTGAATGTGGATCCCTTACTTAACCAAGCATTGCTCGCTACGTCATTCAACCTCTCCGCAACGGTTCTCGATTCGGCATCAAGTTACACACATCCCATATAACGCGAGATTTCACCTTGCTTTTGTGTCGGGGCCCATGCCCCATATCACACGGCTTTTTAGGTTTGGTGGACCGAGCTCCCCACCCTAAGTAAAACAATGGCAGTGAATTGAAGACTCTTCAAAGAGTGGTGCCAATAATGACGAAACCAAAACCTCACAAGTCACAAGCCCGTTGTAGGGGCACATTAATTATAAGAGTTCAAGGGCAATGCCCATAAATTTTTTTCTTTTTTACAAACACAAGAAAAAAGACAAAAAATTAAAATTTTTTATGTCTAACGTTCAAATAACATAATTAAACTGCATTTTTAATAATTATAAAAGTTATTAAAATGATTATAATAGCAAAAACTGAACCTAGTACACATTGTAGTAGCCGAGTTCTTTATAAACACTAAGGGGCTGTTTGTTTCAGCCTCTTAATGGTTCAGATGTCTGAATGGTTCAGCACTTAATGGTTCAGACTGTTTGTTTCAGCCTCTTAATGGTTCAGAAGTCTGAATGGTTAAGAGATTTGCCTCTGAATGGTTAAGAGATTTGCCTCTGAATGGTTAAGTATTATACAGAGTCTGAATGATTAATACCTCTTATCTGAATTGATCAAATATTTGCCTCTGAATAGTTAAGCAATATACTAGCTCTTAATGGTTCAGACCTCTTACTGGTTCAGCACTTAATGGTTCAGACCTCTTACTGATTCAGCACTTACCCATTCAGAAGTTGTCAAACAGTCCCTAAAAGAAGCGACAAAAAACGAATGAACTTTTGCTCAAACATTCAAATAATTGAAAAAAACACAATTAGAAGATATTATTATTAATTATATAAAAAATTAAATAAATGTATTATACCTATTATTGTTTTAAAAAAAATTCAATCGTATCAGTTATCCACCCATGGGTACAAATAAATACTTATTTCATTAGTACTTCATTCAATAATGGTCATTAGTTTTGTATAAATTTTTTATTTTTAAATAAATATACCAATACATATTCCACCAGTTTAAAACATATTTTGTTTACATAATTAAAGTATATCTATAAAATATTTTTTAACTTTATCAATGTTTTGAAAAATCAAGTTTTATATGGTTTTTAAAAACAATAAATCATTTCTCTTTTACTTGGTAAAGAAAATAGAGCCTTTAGTGCATGTACATCTATATTTAAATTATATTATTTGAAAAAAGATATATCTTAGAGTTAAAAAATACTCATCTAAAACATATTATGTCACAATTAGAAAACTAAAATAAATAAAATTATATATATAGAATATCAAAATTTTAGAATGTATACGATTCAATTCAAGTCGGTTCCCAATATACCCAATCACAATTCTCCTAATTTTGTGTGACCTTGATCAAATGTAACCATAAGATTAATTACAGCGGAGTAAATAGGAGAAGTGGAATGCTGAACGAAGGGAGACAAGCCTTACACGGGATGTGTAACATCTTGAAATATATCATAAAATTTAATAATGAATTCTTGATAAGTAGTAATTTCAATTTTACATAAATTAATTAAGAACTAAAACCACAGTGCTAATGTAAGTTATTTCAAAAAGTTATCTTTTTATGATCAAATTTATATGCGGCTTGTAGGCCTCGAAACACGAATTCAACGATGTATTCCATGTGTGAATAGAAGTTACAAAATTTAGTAACTAGACCACCCAAAGTTCTAGAGAAAGTAGGAGATCACTGTGGAGGCTGGGAGGTGGAGAAATCGTCGTCTCGTGGCTGCTGTTGCTGCTGCGGAGGGAGGTGTGTCGTGACAGATTGCAGAATAGTACTCTGCTGCTCCAAGATCTGTCGGGCCCATGCCTCACGCATCCAAATTTTTGACTCCAAAATCAAAATCAACTTGTGAGGTGTAATTGAAGGGGGGTGGGGGGTGTGTTCAGGTCGGGGCCGGGTGGGGGGGTTTACCGGGGGGTTAGGAGGGGTAAGAACCGTCAATTTTACGAACGGGGCACCGGAGCGCCCCCGGGTCATCCCATGACATTGCCATCCAATGTCACTTGAACCTTTCTATTCTTGAATTTCTACTCTATTTGCTTCAATTTGTTCTTGAGCATAGAGAGTACAGTCACGGCGGTAGTATGGTTCGTACCAGGAGCCTTCAGCGAATAAGATTTTGTCAAGAGGGAAAATTATTTGCTCTAATCTTATGATCTCTCCGACGAACGGGTCAAGTTCGTTGTCGTACATCAGCCCAATGTGGTCGTAATTATTTTGATCTCCATGAGGTTCATAATAATCATCCCCATCAGTGTCTTGGTATGGAGAATATCCAAAGTCCTTAGACGGGGTATATTCCTCATGGTAGGGATAATAGTCAGGCCCATTATTGACTTGATAGTCATCATCATATGGCTTTTGATGTGGTTGATAATATGGATGGGGTTGAAATAGAGGACGGTTGGATGATTGATAGTAAGAGGGCGGTCCATAATAACCACTGGAGTTATTCATAGTAGATATTACAGGTAGTTGGTGAATTAGAAAAAACTAGACTAATACCGTGTCACATTCCGGCAACGGCGCCATTTGATGATTGTAGTTTTTGGGTAGTAAACTTTCCTAGTAAAAGGTTAGTTTTCTCTCTGAGTGCCGTGTCTCTCGAGGAGTGGTCGAAGGAATTAGTTAATTTCTCTAATTAGGCAAAGGTTAGGATAGATTTATGAAAGTCTTCTCGGAACGATTATAAAGAGAGCAGAGTAACAATAATAAATAAATTTCACATAGCATAAGTGTAGATCTGGACCTAGGGTAAGGACATCATTTAGATCTACTTTATCCTATTTAATTAGTAATTGGAATAAAAATATTTCTATTATTACTTACTTATTTCTAGGTTTTATAAGTAATCTGTTGCTTTGAATATGATAGCCTTTCGACATATAATATTTCCTTAATAAATAACTAATTAAATCTTTCAATATTAATTAACTAAATATAGCAAGAACAATGGACTAATCATTCCAACATTAATTTTACATTCAAAGTATACAACCAAACTAGTCCGGACCTAGGGGTCCGAACCCTAACTCATACTATGCAAACATAATTTAAAACATTATTTTATTAAACAAGAAAACTTACGAAACTCCAACTAAGCAGAACAGAACAGATCCAAAGTCAAAGCCTCCGAAATCACTTCAAAACTAATACTAAAACTAATATACAAAGTATTTTAATCAATTGAGAGAGAGTTAAGCCCGAAATTGGGTTGAGAATGGTGCGCAAAAATCGTGCGCTATTTATAGGACAGAGAACGCGGGCATCCAACTTCTCTGGGCTCCAACTTTGGACGCCAGTGCCCGAATAGCGTGTTCCATCCATTAGCGCCGCGCCGCATGGCAAAGCCGTGTCACCCCAGGTTGCTTGGGGGTCCAACTCTCGCGGGCGTCCAACTTTGGACGCCCAGGGTTCGGTTTCAACGCCCAATTGGTCCAATACGCGATTCTCCAAGATTTTGTCCCAATTTCGCTCCGTATTGGTCCGTTTGGCTCTTGAACACTGATTTTTACCTTCGAAGTCTCGTTTTCTTCGGTGATGTTTAAAATCTGAAACTTTTTCTCCAATTTGGGACATAAAATGGACTAATCCACTTAATTTAATTTGGAACCCGTATTTATTCTTCTTGAGACGAAATAGAAATTTTGTCACTAATAGACACCTTTAATGGGTAAATTTATTACTATTTTCCTGCAATAACGCTTAAAATATGTAGAATAAAATAAGAACAAAATAGATTTATCAAGGCCCCAACTGGTTCTCACCAGAGGTCACTGACCTCCGTGCGTATGTTTTTAATCCTTGGGACCATCAAGTGCACGAAAACACCCGCATGACCTTATTTCCTAATCTCAACCTTATTGTTAATTTCTAATATTCAATGTGAAATTTGCACTGAATAGAACTAAAACATAGATCATTTCTCAATGTAGGACTTAAACTTTTTTATTTCCTAAATAGGACTTAATAATGATTGGTGAGAAAAATAATGTCCAAGTGATGCTGGACATTTAGTTGAATAATGACTAATACATAATGATCAATGGTCCTACATTGAAAAATGAAAACATACATATATTGAGAAAAAGTGATTATGTTTTAGTCTTATTTAGGTAAATTACCCATATTCAATTCAACTAAGATCCGCCTACATCTACCAAGTGGCCTATTTTGCAATTTCAGTCTAACATATAATTATCATCAATTCATTAGCTAGTAAGTTTAGATTAATCTTGTGACTATTAGTTAAACTTTTATGGCCATCAAACAATTGAAACATGTGGCCTAAATTACAATTTAAAAGAAAGAGGGCCAAATTATAATCTTAATTAAAGTAAAGGCCCAAGTCTCAGCTCCCTTCCTTAACAATGAAATCGGAAAAAGAAGTGGGTCAAAAACAATGCAATTTCAACCCAAGTGCAAGGCAATCCCCATCAGGTGGATCCCGATGGGGGCATGGGGCTGGACAACGGTAGACCGGGGATGAGCCACAACACCAGCGGCGGCGGCGGCAGTGAGCAGGGCAGCGGCAAATCTCCCAATCCAGCACAACAGTAACATCGTTTTCTGGCGGTGACCAGATAGAGAAAAGAAGAAACAGAGAAGAGGAGCACACAGAAGAGAAATTGAAGAAGGGAGAGGAACAGTCTCGAATTCCCAATTCAGTTCAGCTCAAAACATAACCAATCACAACAATTTAATAATCATATATACAAATTCATTCTCAATTGCACATGAATATATCAATGAATACTAATCTGTGAATCAATTTTAACAAGAAATAAACCACAACTCACCTTCGTTTAAATTGATGAAGAAATCCTCAATTTTTTGGTGGGTTTCCAGCTAATACTCGGGAGTCGTTCGGCAAGGGAAGCTTAATACGAAGAGGACCGATGAATGGTGATAATGGTTGCTCACGCCAAGAAGGCAAGAAGATGAAGGTCAAGGCATGTATATATATTGGTAGGGGCGTTTGGTTCGTGCCGAGGAAAGAGAAAGGAAAGGAAATCAGAACGGGAAAGGAAATCAGAACGGGAGTGGAGGAATTGGAGCGGGAGCCGGGAGGGGGAGGAATCGGAGCTGGGGGAGGAAACGGAGCTGGAAGGGGAGGAACATACCTGGGCTGCGCTGTGGATGGAGTCACGGTGTGGCAGCGAGACGCAATGGGGTGGTGGCGAGACGCGGTGGGGTGACGGCTGGAAGAAACGGATGTGCTGCGCATGAAGAAGGTGATGAAAGAGAGGCGCAGATTGGGAAAGAAATGGACGAGGAAGAAGGGTTAGGGAAGGGGAAGAGGGGAATGTGAATGGGAAACCCTGGTAGGGAGGGGGAATCAAAAGAGGGTAAACAAGATAATCCAAAACCGAAAAACGGAGAAACTGAATGAACTTTTTTTTAAACACATGATTTTGGGATCTGACCTATAGTGTAACACCTGCATCCGCATAATCCAAATAAATAGACTAGCGAATCGGATTATTACTAAATTGGTATTCACATACAATATTTTTTTCCAAATAAATAAAAATCATTTAATTCAAAGTCTAAGCATTTTAAAATAATTTAAACATTTATCGGAGTTAAAGTTAAAATAGTGCAAAAGCTAAACTGTAATTTATCAAGTAATTCATATATAGAGTTCATCATAAAATTTACCTGTCACTTGTCCATCCTCGTTCTCACCATACATATGTACTAGTTTTTACCCCGTGCTTCGCACGGGCTCGCATATTTCTCTATAAAATATATTTATATGTTAACAGAGATATTTTAAGTTAACATTTTGGATGTTTGTTAAAAGTTTAATTCATATATGAACATAATATGAATTAAAATTTAATTTTATTTATTTTAATGTTTTAATAATAATATGATATGCATTAATAAAATAAATAATGTAATAAGATAATTTTTTTTTGAAACAAATCGATTAATTAATAAATATGCATATGTGATTAAATTTACATAATCATTTTTTAAAAAGTATTGAACTAAAATAAGTTGTGGATAGTATAAAAATAATATATATATATATATATATATATATATATATATATATATTATAGAGTATATTTTACAAATACTCTATAATATACTTTATATATATATATATATATATATATATATTATAGAGTATATTTTACAATGATGAAATATATAAATATAGAATTATTAAAAAATGAAAAAGTTTTATGCAAATGTATTCAAAGATCTTTTAAAAAAATTAAAATGGACCAATGAATTGAAATGCATAAATCCACATCATTAGTGAGTGCACATGTGGATGCACATGTGGCATGCCACATGTCAACACTACAACAATTGAATTCTCTTTTACATATATATATAGGATTCATCATAATGCACCACTAACTTGTGCTAATACTCTAACTTAAACTAAGGTCTCTACCTAGTTTTCTTGGAGTGATGATTGTTCNTATATATATATATATATATATATATATATTATAGAGTATATTTTACAATGATGAAATATATAAATATAGAATTATTAAAAAATGAAAAAGTTTTATGCAAATGTATTCAAAGATCTTTTAAAAAAATTAAAATGGACCAATGAATTGAAATGCATAAATCCACATCATTAGTGAGTGCACATGTGGATGCACATGTGGCATGCCACATGTCAACACTACAACAATTGAATTCTCTTTTACATATATATATAGGATTCATCATAATGCACCACTAACTTGTGCTAATACTCTAACTTAAACTAAGGTCTCTACCTAGTTTTCTTGGAGTGATGATTGTTCCCACTAGATCAGCAGGTCATGCTCAAATAACGAAGGAGTTCTCCGTTGGGTGGGTAGAATCCCCACTGGTTAGACTAACACAAAACAATCAAACATGACACATAGATGTTTTAAATAATGTTTTAAATTAATTCCTTTAAAATGTTTTGAAAATATGATGTGTTTGAATGCTATTCTAGTAGCAACCTGATCCACTAATCCATGAATTCAAGTTACGTGGGTTGGGGTGTTACAAGACAACTTTTTAGATTTAGGCCATCGAAACACAATTTTTCCACGATGTTCCTGATGTATTAGGCAATTTTACTTTTATTTATTGTTCGAGACTTAGGCAGTTTTTAAATTATTTTACATTTAGGCAAAGTAATCTTTGAACCCATCATGAACACAATTGTTCTAAATTAGGAAATTTATTTTTTATTTATTATTCCAAATTTGAAAAGTAATTTTTGAATAAATTAGGTTTTTTGAATTTATCCCATGAACAAGTCTTGTTGGTAGTAAATTTTTTAGTTTTAGTCAATTCAAATTAGATTGAAATGGTTTAAAAACAATACTCCAATTACGATGACCTTATACGTCATATAATTTTGGATTTGGGTGGGATGCAACCACAAAGAAATTGACTACTCCTGATAAAGTATGGGAGGATTACTTAAAGGCGAGCATTTATTTTCCTTCAATATTTTTTGCTTTAAATTCATTCTGGAAATCATACTCACAATTAGATCATTATTGTCCTATCAGTCAAATCTAACACATGGATTTCTTCGGACAAGCACTTTTTTAGTTTATGAGGACTTTGTTGGAAAACATCTTCACTTTGACATTTTGCTAATAACAATGTTTGTTTTCGTTTAGGTTTTGATATTGACAAACCGTCAGGAACATAGAACAAAATGAAAAGACTCAAAGAGATAGAAAAATTTCTTTAAAGAAACAAAAAGCAAAAGAAAGGCATTGACGTTGCTAAAGATGGCGACATTGGCGCTTTGAAGACGTTTTCTAAAGACTTAGGTTTTTATTGTAACAAGCTCATTCAATTTCTCTACGTCATGGCTCAAAACAAAATATGTTTTTCATGCATCAAATGAGTGTTTTCATAAATGGTTTTTATGTTTTTAAAACCCATGGTTCTTGCTTAACCAAAACCATAACCATCGGTTATCGGCGTTCGGCTATGGCGTTCGGTTTTCGGCATTGGTTATTGGCATTGATTTTAACCAAATGGTTTTTGGGTTTTATCTTTGGTTTATGCTTCTGGACACTTTTAAAGTTTTTCCAAATCATTAGTTTTCAAAAACCATAACCTTTGTTTTTTCAGCGTTGGTTATCGGCATTCGGCGCTGGTTATCGGCGTTGGTTTTTGGCGTCCAAATCAATCAAGTGGTTTTTAAAATTTTATGATTGATTTTTACTTTTGGGCATATCCAAATAGTTCTACAACAAAAACATGTTAAAAACCACCTTTCGTTTTTGGTCTTTTGGTGAAAACCATGTGAAACGACATAAACTTGGCTAGCCGTGATTTTTACCTTAATGAAGTGGTTTTTAAGTTTTTATACTTGTTTTCTACATTAAATACATTATATAAGAGTTTCCAACACTTGGTTTTCATTTTGGAGAACTTTGGTTTTTGACATCGGTTTTCGGCGTTGGTTGTCAAACCATGGTTCTGGCGACGAGGCCCAACATAGATGTAGGATCATGAACATAGATGTCTGGACAACGATGTTGGGATTTGAACATCTATGTCTGAACAGTGATGTTGAGATTTGAACATCTATGTTTTGGCAAGATTGGCTCACGTTAGTCTTGGGCAGTATGTTTTTGAACAGCGATGTTCATTGTTGAAAAGCGATGTTTTCAAATGACCGTTGGACTATTTAAGACAAAATATCTCCATTTTTGAAAGTCAAACACCCCAACATCGATGTAGACTTCTAGACATCGATGTTTTGATGACCGTTAGCCATTTTTAAAGGAAAGTCAAAGCCAAAACAGCGATGTTCACTATATGAACAGCGCTGTCGGGCTAGATTTCACTAGATCCACTTTTATTTGATTTCCACAAATCAAGCCAATCAACCCCAATCTTCTCCCAACCGTTGCACCTTGTTTTTGGGTATAAAAAGGGGTCTCTTGGGTCTACTTTTCACAACCATTCCTTACACATTTCATAGCTTTACATTGCATCATTCTACAAACTTTCTACATAGCTTTTTATAGCCATTTCTTGAGGAATTTAGTGTGTTCTTGATCTAAATTAGTTTACTCATATTCTACTCTTTAAGAGAGTATTTGTTCTTGAGTGGTTAAGTGTTGTGAACACTTTAAGGGAGGTTTGTTCCCTTGGTTGTATGAAGGAAGGGCATATTCCTTCGAGTTGAAGTCTTGGAGTGCGGTATCTCCGAGCAAGTGTATTGAGGCTCGTGGGACTCGAGTTCTCAGGTTGTAACGGTTTGTTAAGCACCCGTAAGCTTAACGGAAGTAGTGTAGCTCGAGAGAGTCTCTCGGGAGGGTGGACTAGCCACACGTTGTGGTGAACCAGGGTAAAATCAGTGTGTTCTTTCCTTACGCTTTTTTATTCCGCTCTTTACTTTATCTCTACGATTTTTATTCCGTGAAAATTTATAAACATTCTCGTGCCTCACTATTCACCCCCCCCCTAGTGGAGGACACTTATTCTAACAATTGGTATCAGAGCCTAAGTCTCTACAAGCCTTAACCGGTTGAGAGAACGATCTATATTTTTTTGTTGAGAATGTTGTATGCAGGATTAAGCGAAGGACACTCCACCGTTAGACCTCCACTCTTCGATGGAACAAACTACACCTATTGGAAGGAACAAATGAGGATTTACATTTGGTCAATCAACTTCGAACTATGGTTAATAATAAAAAACGGTGAGACGACGCCTATGAAAAAGGTTGGTGAAACCACCATCCCAAAGAAGGAGGAAGAATATGATGCTCAAGACATCAAGAATGTAAAAGCTTTTGAAAAAGCTAAACACGTGATTTTTTGTGCAATTAACCCGGATGACTACCAGAAAATTTCTTCTTGCTCCACCGCAAAAGAAATGTGGGATAAGCTTGAAGTGACATACGAAGGTACGCCTCAAGTCCGTGAAGCTAAAATTGATTTTCTAACCCATGAATATGAGTTGTTTAAAATGAAGGAAATTGAAAGCGTTGATCAAATGTTCGACCGATTTTTAAAGATCATCAACGATCTCCATGTCCTTGGTAAAACATACTCGAACAAAGATCTTGTTCGAAAAATCCTTCGGAGCTTAACACCGGAATGGCGTTCAAAAGCCGATGCCATATATGAGTCGATTGGTAACACCAATGTCACCATCGATGGTCTTCGAGGTAATCTTAAAACTTATAAATCTACGGTTCTTAAACCTTCTCTTCACAAGAGTCCCGGTCTCGCTCTCAAAGCCTCATCCTCAAAAAGGGTAGAGGTAAGTGACTCTGATAAGGATTACGATAATCTTTCTAATAACTTGCTCGAGAAGTTCCAAGAGTTTTTGAAGGAAGAACTTAGGTCCCGAGATTGTAAAAGAAAGGGGGAACACGTTCCAACGTGCTTTGGTTGTGGAGAACTTGGCCACATAAAGCCATATTGCCCAAACCGCAAGGAAAAGAAGAAGAAGGAACGAGCATGCATGGCATGGGATTCGGAAAGTTCCGGTGACGAAACCGCCACCTTATGTCTTATGGCTCATGAACGAAATGGAGAGGTAAGTACTTCTAACTCTTTCTCATTTGAAGAATTACAAGAAGCCTTTCAAGAATTATTTGGTGAATTGAAGAAAACTTCAAAAATTGCCAAAGAGGCTAAGACAAAAATTCATGCTTTGGAAGAGGAAAATAAATTTTTGGAAAATGATAATTTTGACCTCAAAAATAAAATTAAGGCAATGAATGAAGATTCTTTCTTTGACCAAAGTTCTAATTGTTCCTCTTGTAAGTCTTTAAAAGTAGAGAATGTAGAACTTAATAGCATCATTGAAAAAATTAAGGTAAAAGAGCCTAAGAAACTTTGTCAAGAAGTTAAGAATGATAGACCACCTAGAAGAACTAATAATCCTAGGTATAACAAAATTAATTTTAGAAAGAATAAAAGTAACAAGGTAAGACAACCTAGAATTGACTCTAGGATTTTTACAAATGGTAGAAATATTTTAAGACAACCTAGAAATGAGTCTATAAATTTAGTTAATAATTCTAGGAATGATGATTTTAGATCACCTAGAAAGTTTTTGGCTCAACATAGGCATATGCATAATCCAAATATAGTATGCCATTATTGTTCTAAGATAGGACACATAGCTCCCGTTTGTTTTTCTAGACATAGGGACACTTCTTATAATTATGATTATGATTTTTATTTGCCTAACCTCCAAGGACCCAAAAGCTATTGGGTACTTCAATGGTATTACTAGATACACAAAAGGGTGTGGTTGAAGAATACAAACTTGTAGTGGATACTCCAAGCACGAAACCCAATGAACCGCATCAAGGGGAAGCTCGTTTTACGTTACTACATTGTTGACATTGTTGACAATTGATCCTCCAGGACATTTTCAAACATCGATGTTCAGTATCGAACATCAATGTTCTAGGAGTATTTTTTTACAATTTTTTAAGTGCTTTTTGTTAATGCCAAAAGGGGGAAGTGTTTGGGTATATGCAACAAGTGATGGAGAATCTTCTTTTCAAAGACGTAGGGGAAATTACCATTACTCTCTCTTTGAAAACCCAACTTGGCCTGCATATCCCCTCCTTGGTTTGTCATCATCAAAAAGGGGAAATTGTTGGAAAACATTTTCACTTTGACATTTTGCTAATGACAATATTTGTTTCTGTTTAGGTTTTGATATTGACAAACCGTCAGGAACATGGAACAAAATGAAAAGACTCAAAGAGATAGAAAAAGTTTTTTGAAGAAACAAAAAGCACAAGAAAGGCATTGACGTTGCTAAAGATGGCGACATTGGCGCTTTGAAGACGTTTTCTAAATACTTAGGTTTTTATTGTAACAAGCTCATTCAATTTCTCTACATCATGGCTCAAAACAAAATATGTTTTTCATGCATCAAATGAGTGTTTTCATAAATGGTTTTTAAGTTTTTAAAACCCATGGTTCTTGCTTAACCAAAACCATAACCATCGGTTATCGGCATTCGGCTATGGCGTTCGGTTTTCGGCATTGGTTATTGGCATTGATTTTAACCAATTGGTTTTTGGGTTTTATCTTTGGTTTATGCTTCTGGACACTTTTAAAGTTTTTCCAAATCATTAGTTTTCAAAAACCATAACCTTTGTTTTTCCGGCGTTGGTTATCGGCATTCGGCGCTGGTTATCGGCGTTGGTTTTTGGCGTCCAAATCAATCAAGTGGTTTTTAAGATTTTATGATTGATTTTTACTTTTGGGCATATCCAAATAGTTCTCCAACAAAAACATGTTAAAAACCACCTTTCGTTTTTGGTCTTTTGGTGAAAACCATGTGAAACGGCATAAACTTGGCTAGCCGTGATTTTTACCTTAATGAAGTGGTTTTTAAGTTTTTATACTTGTTTTCTACATTAAATACATTATATAAGAGTTTCCAACACTTGGTTTTCATTTTGGAGAACTTTGGTTTTTGACATCAGTTTTCGGTGTTGGTTGTCAAACCATGGTTCTGGCGACCAGGCCCAACATAGATGTAGGATCTTGAACATAGATGTCTGGACAGCGATGTTGGGATTTGAACATCTATGTCTGAACAGCGATGTTGATATTTGAACATCTATGTTTTGGCAAGATTGGCTCACGTCAGTCTTGGGTAGTAGGTTTTTGAATAGCAATGTTCATTGTTGAACAGTGATGTTTTCAAATGACCGTTGGACTATTTAAGACAAAATCTCTCTAGTTTTGAAAGTCAAACACCCCAACATCGATGTAGATTTTTAGACATCGATGTTTTGATGACCGTTAGCCATTTTTAAAGGAAAGTCAAAGCCAAAACAGCGATGTTCACTATATGAATAGCGCTGTCGGGCTAGATTTCACTAGATCCACTTTTATTTGATTTCCACAAATCAAGCCAATCAACCCCAATCTTCTCCCAACCGTTGCACCTTGTTTTTGGGTATAAAAAGGGGTCTCTTGGGTCTACTTTTCACAACCATTCCTTACACATTTCATAGTTTTACATTGCATCATTCTACAAACTTTCTATATAGCTTTTTATAGCCATTTCTTGAGGAATTGAGTGTGTTCTTGATCTAAATTAGTTTACTCATATTCTACTCTTTAAGAGAGTATTTGTTCTTGAGTGGTTAAGTGTTGTGAACACTTTAAGGGAGGTTTGTTCCCTTGGTTGTACGAAGGAAGGGCATATTCCTTCGAGTTGAAGTCTTGGAGTGCGGTATCTCTGAGCAAGTGTATTGAGGCTCGTGGGACTCGAGTTCTCTGGTTGTAACAGTTTGTTAAGCACCCGTAAGCTTAACAGAAGTAGTGTAGCTCGAGAGAGTCTCTCGGGAGGCTGGACTAGCCACACGTTGTGGTGAACCAGGGTAAAATCGGTGTGTTCTTTCCTTACGCTTTTTTATTCCGCTCTTTACTTTATCCCTACGATTTTTATTCCGTGAAAATTTATAAACATTCTCGTGCCTCACTATTCACCCTCCCTCTAGTGGAGGGCACTTATTCTAACAAACTTGATGTTGGTTCCATATTGTGTTGGCATTATTTTTTGACAAATGAAAAGATTTACCTAGAATTATTTAAGATGTTTTATTTAGACTTAGAGTCCTAGCCTGAGAAGAAAGAAAAAGAGGAAATATCTTGAAGTGAGAATTGTAATCCTACTTGGTTTACTATTCTTGAGGATGAAGCCATGGTTTGTGACTCCTATGTACACTCTAACATGGTTATCATATTCCATATATTATCTTTGCCCTCTCTTAGGATTTTGGTGTGCAAAAATCTGAAAAAACTGAAGCAAATCCGATCAAAAGAAAAATAAGGTGCACATTTTGAGAGTGCAAATTTTCTTGACAGCCTGCACGAATTTGATAATCACCGGAGATCCAACCGTTGGATTGTGTTTAAATTTTCAGAGAGTGTTCCAAAGTATGATGTTTGGAGCTTTGTTCCATGTTAAAATATGTTGGGAGGTGATTGGGATTGTTTAAATTCAAAATCAGCAATCAGGAACAATAATCCAACGGTCACAGTAGGGCGGTATCGTTGCTACGGTATCGAGGTACTGTACGTACGTAAGGGGGGTATCGTGAGTGGCGATATGTAGGTACCATGTACCCTCAAAAACCAAATCTTTCTTGCGGAACCATGGTAGGTCCTACTGTTGAGGCGGTAGGGTGTACTGTTAGCTGTACCGTACGCCTGATCCGGTTTTTCTGAAATTCGCTTAATTCTTTTCGTTTGAGTTTAAAACCTTTTAGATGTTTGAAAGTGGTTATATGATGGTTTTAAACATATTTTGTGAGTGTATTATAGCTTGTGAAAATAGGTATATAAACTCACATCATTACAATATTAAGAACCGAATCTTAATAGATTCTTGTTGTTCCTAAAACACTTAAACAAATATTAGCTCTTATATTGTTTGTTAACATCAAAATACGAGGCTTAGCAAACCAAGGCTAACAAAAGCTAATCTGTAAAAAGTATTTTAAAATTTTAAGGCAAAATTTAAAAAAAAACAAAATTTATAAAAATAATCTCATTTTTTATTTTGTTGTGCAAAAGCGATCATATTTGTTAACCAATCGTTAACAAGTTAACAGTGAACCAAAACGCGCACATTAGGTAAATGTAAGATTATTTTGAAAGACTAGATAAATGTGAAATTATTATGTACTCATATATTTTTTCTAAATTTTAGTTTGTATTTTAAGTAAAACGAGGTCGTTTAATAAAAAAATTAAAAAACCAAATGATCTTGGACTCCGTTAGGGTTTAAAATAAGACTATGCTTGGATTGTGGTTAAACTCTGTTTCCTGGTTGCCCTTCTCCACTTCCTTTTTTTCGTTCTTTCTTCCAGCGCAGCTCTCTGATATGCCGCAGCTCTCTAGCCGCAGTTCTCTCATCTGCCATCTTCTTCGACTCCATTGCTTTTGCGTGAATTTATCTGCGATCCAGCTGCAGCCACTAACGACTCCATTCTCTCTGGCCTGAATCTTCTCTCCTACGACGGATTTCAGGTATGATTTTTTTGCTATTTTTTGTCAATTATTGAAATCTGCTATTTTTTTCATGTTTTTTTGCCGTTTAATTTTTTTCTTCTGTTTTTTTGCGGTCTTTTGTGCATTTTTATGTTTTTTTCCTGTTATTTTTTTGCTGTTTTTTGCTTTATTCCTGTTGTTTTTATGCTTTTTTTCTATTTTTGTCAATTATTTAACTGTTTTTATTTCTGTTTTTTGATGTGCGAAAGAACAAGGGTATGTAGGTAATTTTAATGTTTTACCTACTTCACATTACCTAATAAATATCCAAACACAATTTATCAACTTATTACTTACTTTATCTACCTTTCATTACCTACCATTACCTACCTAATAAAACTTTACCTCTCTCAATCCAAACATACCCTAAGTTCAAATCCATTTCGGTAGCTCCTTCCTCAAACCCCCCGAGTTCTGCCCCTGAATAGCATACATCCCAGACACCGGACATTCGCAACTACAACCAGCAGCGACAACGTCATCGCCGGCCCTTAGCCCCTACACCTTCGGCTAGTCCTTTTCGCTGCGAGTCGACATATTTTTTGAACACTTTAATGCATTAATAGTTTAATTGCAAAGTGTTTGGGGATTTTTTGTTTCGAAGAGATGGTTGATGATAAATTCTTTTTTTAAATTAGTAATTTTTAATTTGTTTTTTCTTCTTATTTTGAGAGGTTATTATTGCTACGGGTATTTAATATTGTCAATTACTTTGCTTTGTGTTCATTAATACCTTGTTTTGTGTTTATTAAATTAGACAACTAATTTGTTATTTTGAAATAGAAATTATATTTTGTGTAATTTATAATAATGTCATTGTTATAGTTTGAATTTTGAATGTTTATTTGTGATAGAATTTATCTTTTTGTCATTTAATATTGTGCCATTTGTGCCCCCACCCCACTAGCAAGCTCTTGGGACTGACTAAGATGCCCTGGTGATTTTGAATACTAGATTCCGCCATTAGGGCCGGCCCAATAAGAGGACAAACAGTCCGTCTGGACCGGGCTCATTATTGTAAGGGACCCAATTTTTCGTTAATATTATATGTATGCATATCCCATTCGAAGCCCAGCACCGAGCCCAACATGTCAAAAGCCTATCTCATTCGCCGCCCCCATCCCTTCCTACTTACTAACGCAAACCGCAGAGGCGCAGAAGCTGGAAGACGAAGCCTACTGCCGAAACCGAATCGGAAAGAGAGTGACGACTGCTAGAACGCCGCCGGTAGAGAGACGCCGCCGCCGCCGCCGCTTCCTCCAGACGCCGCTGCACCCTCCAGGTACCCGCCAGACGCCAGACGCCGCCGGTAACGTATTCACTATCTTTCCAATTTAGTAATTTTTTTCTAATTTTCTTTCCTTCATTGTTTCATTCTTTAGATTTAAAATCTAGGGTTAATTATTTATTTTTAGTTTCAAATCTTTGCTAATTGCTATAAAATATGAATGAATTAATGGTTCCATATATTCTTTATTTGATTTGGATGAATTGATTTGAATTTATGATATATATATATATATATATATATATATATATATATATATATATATAACTGAAAACTGAAAAACTAAAAAAAAACTAAAAAATTGACGAATTGACATGAATTTAAGATATATATAAAAAGACTGAAAACTGAAAAAGAAAAAAACTGAAAAAATGACGAATTGAATCAATTGATATGAGTTTATGATAGATGAATTTATTTGCTTGCTTTTCCATTTTTGATTTTACTAAGTAGTAAAATTTATGAATTTGAATTTTATTTTAGAAATAATTCAATAGCTACAGGTCCTAAACATCTATCTCGTAGTCAAAAATGTAAAAAGAGAAAACGGGATGAAGTTTGAGAAAGTATCAAGCCGGATAAGAAACGCTTTGGTCATTTATTTATTTTCTTCTAATAATATTACTTTAATTCTCATTTATATATAATTAGATTACATATGTTAATTTGCTAGACTTTATATTTAGGGCCTTTTTTATCTCGGCCCAAGCCGTTGAATTCTCAGGATCGGCCTTGCCGCCATTGCTCATTTCTGTTTTTGGCTACATTATATTTCATTAATGATATTATGTATTGTACATTCGTAATACAGGCACACACTTATTTACTTATAGGCAGGCTTGTTGTTGGGTGCCTAATCGGTTAGGTGTTGTGAAGGTCCATTGGTGCCTTTGCCTCGTCACTCTAACAACCCTTATATATATGTGTGTGTGTGTGTATGTATGTATGTATGTATGTACGTATGAATGTATGTATATATATGTATGTATGCATGTATAAATATATAAAATATGTATGTATATATGTACGTGTGTATACATATTATGACTTGTTGCCTAGTTAGGTAGTCGGGTCATAAATGGCTCCACTCCACCATAGTTGTGAATGGCGAGCGCCATTTGCGCGTGTAGCGCCAAAAGCGCTGTGGCAAGTGAATTCCGCCTGGCTTGACTGTGGCGCGGCGCTTTACGTGTGGCGCGCCATAAGCAGTTGCCATAGACGCCAGGGTTTGTAGCGAGTTGCGAGCGCCATCCACCCCTTGCGTATTGTGTAAATAAAAATAAAACTGACCATTGACCTAATTTTCTTTTTAAAAACGACATTGACGTATGCAATAGCGTTTCCCCTGTCTATCGTTTCGACACATCCGATCAAAATTGTGCGCCTCCGCAAGACCGCAACTCCTCCAGAGTCCACTCTCGATTCACTCTTTCTTCACTCCATCGCAATTGGCAGAATCGCAGGTTAGCAACGCAATTTGGTTTCCTCAGGCCAGCGCAAGTCGCACTCAGACCAGGTCACACCCTCCTCTCTCCTTTGCTTCAGGCCCAACTTCCTAGGTTATTTTTAATTTTTTTTAATTAATTTATTTTCTTTTTATGTTTTTTTAACCCATATAATGTGTAATGATGATGATTATTATAATTATTATGATTTTGTTTACTGTCTTGTTTGCTTGATCATACAATTGCAGTTCACAGATTATGTATTTATGTCACTTATTAGTGTTGTTTTTTTATTATGTTACTCTTCTTCACTATGTGAATTATTATATTCTTACATATATATTTTTTGTACAATAGTTTTTCACCAATACAAATAAATATATATATGTGTGTGTGTGTGTTTGCCATTTGACCGCCTGCCACTTGCCACGCCTCTTGCCATAAAAAAGGACCTCTCGCCCGCCACTCGCCACTCGCCATTCACAACTATGGACATGTGGAGTGACATGTCAATGTGACTATCTTGTTCTTCATATTAGTTGTTACTTGTTATTAATTGAAAGTGTTCCAATTCGAATTCTCTTCTATTTCATGAGATTAACTTTTTTTTTGAGTGCTGCACATCTACAGGTCACAGCGTGATACACATTCATATTTATCCAGCTCAAATTGGGCAACATGCATCACGAAACCGAGGTAAGCTGTTTCCTTTCTCTCCTTCTAAAAGACCAATTCTTTGCTGCTCCAGTACGTAGAAGAGGTCCCTTGTGCTTGAATAAACGAATACGTTTTTTTTGAGGGGAGGATGTGACTTCATTTATTGTCATATGTTTTCTAAATTCCATGATCAGGGTGCTTCTGAGGCTGTTGAGGCCATTAAATTCAGTTTCATGACGAACGAAGAGGTACGCCGCCAAAGCCTAGTCAAGGTGACAAATCCAGTACTTGTTGATTTGCTGGGGCATCCTACTCCAGGTGGGTTATATGATCCAGCCATGGGCCCCAATGATGACCGTTCATTGTAAGTAGCCGCACTGGACTTTAACACATACTCTTCTTATCATGCTTGGTTATGGGGAAACGTAAAACACAGTCAATGGGATGTGTTATTTGCTTTGGTAATGTTGCATTTGGTTACATTGTGGCGTGTTATTCAATTTCCCATCTACAACGTTTGCTTTCAAAGAATGATATGGTTTGAGGATTGATTGTAGATATCCTGGGTGACCACATATACTTCTACATCATAAATGACTTCATAATCTTCTAGAATTCCTTATTCTCAGCAACATTCATAATACTATTCCTCGATATATACAGCTGTGTGGTTCCACAGTTTAATCGATTTTCTAGATGGGCTACAGTGGTGGTGGGAAAAAGTGGATTGTGATTAGTTTTAATGGTCATGACAACGATGGTAGGAAACGAATGGCCCTGACACCAAATGCGATGAACATGGTTGGGATTGGACCAACTTGTCCTTGACTGAGTGTACAAGAGAGCAGCCTCAGAAATTCAGAATTAGTTTTGTCAAGAGTTACCTGATTATAGTCGTGGTAATAGACACACCATTATATAATAAAATGTTGTACAGTCCAAATCAAATCCACCAGTTAGCTCCTAGACTAAGACAATGATACACACAGAGTCCAACATTCGTACAATAACTGATGGATACCAAAAACTGGAAACTAAAAACAAGAAATTTCTTCTAAATCTGCTTAAATCAAGAATCTCGATTTATTGAGACTAAGAAGCCCAAGAGAATCTTTGAAAATATAAATCGTAATATTACTCCTCCCCTTTAGCATAAACTGGCTAAGGGTATAAATAGTGCAGTAATACAAGGGAAATACCAGAAAAGAGAAACTGACTCCTTGGGTTCAAATGGTGATCCCATTATCCCACAATTATTCCAACTGACTCTAACAACTTTGACTGACTCAAATGCTAATAAAAAGGGATATTTAAAATCACTAACAAGTAACAACTTTGACTGACTCAATTACTAATATAAAGGGATAGACTCAGATTTAGGTAAATAAATAAATAAACATGACTAAGTCATAAAACATGACTAAGTCAAATGCTTATTCGTGCGCCGCTGATAAGTGAGCAGTGGCTTAGTCTTATTCAGAGTCATATCAAATGATAGAACTAGAGAGGGCAGAGAAAAGAATTGAAGGATAATCTTTATCCAATTATGAAATCAGGATCTAACTTCATAAATAATAAAGATGACGGAAAATCTTTATCAAAATATGAGCAAGAATCTTAAACTCATATAAGTAAAAATATTGTGCAATCTTTCCTAATCAATAGACATGACGTGATGTCTATTTTTACAAAGAGACTCTAACTTCTACTAGTAATAACTTACTCATAACCACCCACTAACAAAGTGGAATAACTTACCCTAACCCTCCCACTAACTAAGTGGGAATAACTGACCCCTAACTTCCCACTAAGTGGAAATAAATAATTATTAATTGATAAATATGAAAAATAAAAAGACTCAACAAATAAATAAATAGTGCTAATTACTTAAATATAATATGACTTAACCAACCAGCCTGGAACCTATCAATAACTTAATAGATATTTCTTCAATAATCTTAAATGAACTAGTTATCTCGTAAAATAAGATAACAGGGTAAGATCAAATTGGAAATATTCAATGCTTACTATGCTGTTTTTTGTTTATATATATTGGTATATTTTAGTTTTCTTTAGTCTTTGCGATGTTTCACTATGAAGTGAATACATATTTATTTTCTGCTAAGACATGAAAATCTGTTTTTTGCTTCACTTGTTTGATAAAATGGATCCAAACGTTTTAATGTTACATTAAGTTCCTTTCCTTCTCATTACCTTCACCTGCTTGTTGAAACATCGTACCACCATACTTGTAGGTGTAAATCATGTGGTCAGAGCTCATTTAACTGTCCAGGCCATTGTGGCCATATTGATCTTGTATCTCCCGTCTACAACCCATTGACATTTGGTATTCTGAGCCTTCTTCTGCATAAAACATGCATGTATTGCTTTCATTTTCGGGCAAGCAGGGAAGAGGTAAATTTTATTTTGTAAATAATTCTTTGGATTTGTTGCATTTCACCATCAGTGCCAATGGTACATATTTAATTTATTTTCTGACTGTAGGTTGAGACCTGTGCATCCCAACTGAGACTAATAGCAAAAGGTGATATTTTAGGGGCTAGGAGGTTAAGTGAAGCAGGTCGAGAAGCCATACAGTCGGGTGAATCTTCTTCAGATGAGTGTGTTGACCAAGATGCCGTGGACTGCATGGGAAGCCATATGTCAGGCCTTACCGATGAATTTAATTTTCAAGATCACCCTGACAGTATCAAACATCAGCCATATTGGGACAATTTTCTATTTACTGAATTTATGGAAGTTTGGTATAAGTTTCTGAAATCAAAGCCTAAGGCATCTGAGTGCAACATTTGCAATGCCAAAAATCCAAAGATCAGTAAACCAACTTTTGGATGGTTTCATATGGTATGACCTGAGACACCATATGTCCATGTTGACCAACTTGAATATGTATCCTGAAATGATTGGTTTTGGAATTTAACCTTTTTATGCATTCATAAGAAATTGCAGTGTGAGGGGCATCATAAAACATTACCACTATGTTTTTTTGCATGTTTTTATAGTGTTAAATAGTTTAGGACATTAGTTAACACCATACATTTCACATCAACAACCACAACATGGTTGGGATTTCTGGGATCATTGTAAAAAATATCTTTTAATAAAGGGGGAGGATGTACACTACTAGTACAGTCCTCAACATAGGAAATATGACAGGAAATTGTTCCCAGAAATTGAGACAAAATTAAAGGTCCATATAACTCTACACACTAGTAAAGCTGTACATTACATCCTGAGATTCCATATGATGCAGGACTCAACTACAGAAAATCATTTTTCTTGACAATGCCACTTGACTGCTATAAAAGGCCACGTTGTCTCTGCCTTCATCCTTGTATCTTATTGGTGCTTGTTTTTGCTTTTGAATCTGATTTATAGTATTTACAAACGCGAATGGTGGACTAGTTATTCTTCTCTATTGAACCTAAGACCATCCTGTTTTTCTGTCTTTCTATGAAAATGTATTTGGAGTACTTCAAGCAATGAGTGTTTGACAAACTATTTTCTATCCTGCTTTTTTTTTTTGTACCAAAAGTATAATGCTTTGAGATAATGATTAGATCACTTTGCTTGTCAAGAAGCTTTGAAATTACCGCCGTTCTTTTAATTCAATTTCCGCCGACTGCATTGTTTCTGTAGTCTGGCATGAAAAATAAAGCACTCCGTGACAATATTATTGGAGGTCACAAGTTGGAGGGATGGATGTCATTTCAAGCCAATGAAAACTCTACCTCTGAGGTAGTGGATGACTTTGAGACAGCTGAAACCAATTCATTCATGACAACTTCAGATGGAATAGATAAGCCAACTACCGAAGGTAACAATAAAGAGAGTGTGTCTCATCAGTTCGAAGAGCAGAAACGTATTATTGCAGAACCCCTCCTTCCCTCTCAGGTATGACATTCCACTTGGGATTTTTAGGCATTTCTTGATATGCAAATGCATTCTCCTGGATATGGAGTGACTGAATTTCACTCACACAGCTTTATTATTGGCCATCAATAGATCAGAGATGTTATGAAGCTTTTGTGGGAAAATGAAGCTTCTATCTGCTCTTTCATCTGTGATATTCAGTGCCAGAATCTTAAAAAACCTAGCATGGAAGCATGGCTTTCTATATTCTTCTTGGAGGTCATTCTTGTCCCACCCATCAAATTCCGTCCAGCTGCGAAGGGTGGAGACTCTGTAAGTATACAAAGTTGTGTATTAACACATTGATGTTTTTTCTATCACGTCCACTTCCTCCATGGATCATGGATGCGTTGATGTTCATAGATGACATTTATGAATTTTAACCTATGGTTTTAAAATTCTTTCGGCAACAGTATTAAATGTATCAGAAACAAGTATCCATTTTGTTATTTGTGTCAAAAATTTAATTTTTTGTGCTTGTGTATGCTTCTATATTTTGGGCTTCATGAGCTTTATTCTTGATTTGGGATATTTGCTTGCTATATTTGTATGATTTTTTTTTGTAAGATCACACGAGGAATGTGAAAAAACAGGGAAAGAAATAAAAGGGCACATAAAACCTTTACATCAAATGTAAAGCACCACCTCTGTGATTGATCTGATTCTTGGTGGTGGTGTACTGTCATTTCTGTTCGTACTTTTGATCTTTGATTCTTTGGCATTGAAAAGTTTCTGTAATCAATCCTTTCATGCTCATGCAGTTGCCAATCATTCTCTGGTCTATCCTTAACTTAATGCAAGGAAGCAGTAGAGACCTTATTCTATATTAGAAATTTGAGTTCTAAATACAATATCAAAAGTTGTGGGTAGCAATTAACATTGTGAAGCAATGCATTTAGAGCTTTGTTGTGTATTTGGTGGTTTTCAGGTAATGGATCATCCACATACTGTTTTATTAAACAAGGTTCTGCAGTCCAATATAGGTTTGAGAAATACTCATGTTAACACTGCTGAACGCCCTAAGATAATCAGCCGATTGATGGAGCTCCAACAATCCATAAATGTGTTATTTGATAGCAAAACTGCAACAGGTATGTTTCATGCCTTTTAATTTGTTAGCAAAGGTACTGTTTCCAGCTGTAAAGATCCGTTGATCCTGTGAGATATAGTGTAATCAACTATTCAGTTCAGTATTCACTCCCATCTACACAGTAACTCCACTTCTTTTCATGTGGTTGTAGAATACTTAACTTTTTGAGTTCTTAACATTACTTCGTGCTCTACTCTGTTGTGTTTTCCTTTGACACCTTATTGCATCTTTTCATGATAAGACCCAACACGCCACTTAGATCTGACAAATCTTTTTACTCCTACCCGGTCCTACTCACATTTAAATGAATATCTTACATTAGGAAAGGATCAGGTGAAATTGTATAGGGCAGGTAGGCGCGCTATGTAACCGACACTTAATGTGATGCAGGTCCATTAAGTGAAGTTGCATGAAAAGCAGGTCCATCTTTAGAAAAATACTAAGACAACAACCCAATATGGTGATGTTTTGGGCAAGGTAGGTGTTTGCAGACCCATAGTCACCTAAGTCGCGGTACGTTCCAGTACGGTTACGCGGTTCGGGTGCGAAATTTGCTAGAGGTGACGAATTCAGTACAAAGGGGGGTAGGTTCATTTCGGTACAAAGCCGTACGGTGTACCATGTATTCGGTTCGGTGTACCAAAAGTCAAAACATTAATAAACAAATTTTTTTAATATCAATAGATAACTGTAAAAAGAGGTTAGTAAAAGAAATTTGGCAAAAAAGAAATTAGAAGTTGAGCCCAATAAAAATTTGAGCCCAGAAGAGAAAATAGAAGCTACTTTTTATTAAAAGCAATAGCGTGCTTTCAAAAAAAACAGTAAGGTAGAAGTAGACAGTTGCTTCCGTCAAAGTCTGCGTTTCCTTACCTTCTTTTTCTGAAACTGCTTTCGTTTATCGTCATCCCAGCCGCAGGTCCGGAGGATCTCTATTCCCGATCTCTCTTGCGATCTGAATCGCAAACTAGTGACAGTAGGAGGGAATCGGTAACCTTAGTTCGATCTGATCCGGATCACGATTTTGGTACGCCGTACCGCCGACGTTCGGGTCGCAACCGAATTGCGATTGGGTACGCCGCGTACCAATATGGAAGACGCGGCTGTAGCAGCAAATTCTGTGACTATGTGCAGACCTTTCCCATACCCAGGACTGGATATTATTAATTACTTCATACACTCTTAAATAAATACAACAGAGGAAGGGTTTACACTATTCATTCACTCACATTTGATTATCTTGTGTACTTGTGTTTTATACATAAAGAAAAATATAGTCATGTAGAATCTTGTCAGATTTGTAACAATATAAACTTTCATAATATCAACTTTTTTTTACCAAAACATGATTGAAATCATTAACGATTCCCTTTATGTATTGGTAAACGTGAAAATCTTAATGTTGCATTTATTTAAGAACGGATGAAATATTGCCCATTATTCATCCCTTTTTATTTCACTGGTAACTATATACAATTCTATTTCTAAGGAAAAATGCTATCACAATCACAAAGGTCACAAAATACACATTTTTACTATTTGTGCATTTATTTAAGAACGGATGAGAACAGAACGGTTTTAAATAATTAAAAAGTAGAAATTTAAATACATAAAGAGCAAGTTTGTGTATTTTGTGACCCTTGTGTGTTTGTGACTTTAGCAATTCTCATTTCTAAGAAACTTAAATTTGGACTGTTTTGGGAACTACGGAGTATGATTTAATGGATCTTAAATATCAAATTTCACTATTGAATCGTGCACTAAGTATTACACCTGAAACTAGAATATCCTTGTAAGTTAGACATGTTCATGTGTCACTAGCATGCCCTAAGACGTGTCTAATTCCTATGCATATGTAAAAGCCAATCTATTACTGGAAATGGGCATGGTATGTTTATGTTGTGCTCCCCTAACAATAAGAATATCTGTTTGGTTGTTAATGCATACTCTTTATCTGTAACTTTATTGCATAAATGCTTTCAGTAATCAGCATATGATATCTGGTGTACATGGCCTTATTTACCTCTTGATGATTGATGTTAGGGCAATCAGTTTTGCTTCTTTATGTTACATTGAGTAGACTATTGCTCATAATTTGACAGGTAAAAAAGATGTCAGTCCTGGAATATGCCAATTGCTGGAAAAGAAAGAAGGCATCTTCCGCCAGAAAATGATGGGGAAGAGGGTCAATTATGCGTGCCGATCTGTTATATCACCAGACCCTTATTTGGCTGTCAATGAAATTGGTGTCCCTCCTTATTTTGCCGTGCGGCTGACTTATCCAGAGGTAAGGCACATTGTATTATCCTGCTTGTGTTCTTTGCATTTGCGAAATCTGTCTTCTGTTTGTTGAGTTTGGACAGGGACGTGTTTTTGAAATTCAGGATAATTTCTGGTTCCAAACTTAGGGTCCATATTGAAAGGGGGAAAATGATTTCTGAAAAATGACTTCAATTGAGTTATTTTCTAGAAGTCCTTTTCTTGTCTTTTCCATTTTCTGATGTTTTTGGAAGTCTGGAAAATTCGGGGAAAACCCTCGGAAGGTAGAAGAGGGGCCGCTGATGTTTGCGCCGATGGGAGATCTGGATGAAGTTGGAGAAGGATGGCAAACGGCGATGGTAGATCTGATGGCGGAGGGAGATGGAGAAAACGGTGGAGGTCAAAGATTGATGCTTGAGACAATGTAGGGCGGAGATGGTGTCAGCAGTTGTCAGTGCTAGAGGGCGGCGATGCTTGAACAATGGAGGGCGGCAATGTTGGAGACGATGGAGGGCGGCGATGTTGGAGACAATGGTGGGCAGTGATGGTGTCAGCGTGAGAGGATGATGGTGGTGGAGAGGATGGAGGAAGAAGGCGGAGAAGGGTATTGGAGTGGAGGAAGAAGATGGCAAGCTTGAAGATGACACTAGAGAGAGCCTGCAGAAATTGACTTTTGAAGAATAATTGGGAAGTCAGTTTCCTCTAACTTTGGGTTCATTTTCCCCTTGTCAAACATGCCATTTTCCTTTGACCTTGTTTCCAAATACTGGAAAATGGAGTCAATGATTTTCAGAAATAATTTCCTCCCTTTCCAAACGGACCCTTAAGTGTTTTTCCTGAAATAAGTTGCATGTGCAGTGATGCACTGTTAGTGTTTTCATGAGGAGAAAGCTAGTTTTTGCTATCAATATTTTACTTTTGTTTTTTGAATACTGGAGTAAATCTTAAGTTGCTGATTATATTTGGCATTACTTCTCCACAATAATGTGTTCATATTCGTCTAGAGAGTGACCCCTTGGAATGCTGCAAGACTCAGGGATGCTATTACCAATGGACCTGATATCTATCCGGGAGCTGTGTCGTATTCCGACAGAGTTTCCAAATATAAGCTCCCACCTAGTAGAAGGATGCGACTAGCAATATCTCGGAAACTGCCTTCATCCAGGGGTGTATTAATACAATCTGGAAAGAACAGTGACTATGAATTTGAGGGAAAAGTTGTGTACCGTCACTTGCAGGATGGAGATATTGTGCTTGTCAATAGACAGGTATGACACTATTTCTCATCTGCCAATGCTTATTTGTGCTTTCTTTTCAGTATCTTTTTCATCACTCCTTGCCATGTTCAGAAATGTATCTGTGGCTGCTTGATTCTTGTTTTCTTGCCTAGTTTGTTTGAGTTTGCTCTCTATTCTAAGTGAGATACTTATTTACAGCCAACACTTCACAAGCCCAGTATAATGGCACATGTAGTTCGTGTTCTGAAAGGGGAGAAAACTCTTCGCATGCATTATGCTAATTGCAGGTTGGTCCTTCTACATCTTTCTTTTTGAAGGATTTATTATACTCGATAGGTAATTAATACATGATTACGTAACATTGAATGTGGAAACAGTTCCTACAATGCTGATTTTGATGGTGATGAAATGAACGTCCATTTTCCTCAAGATGAAGTTTCTCGTGCTGAAGCTTATAACATCGTAAATGCTAATGAACAATACATTGTTCCCACAAAGGGAGATACTGTTAGAGGCCTGATTCAGGTTTTCACATTTGAACCAACAATTTTCTGACATCTATATGTATTTTTTTCCTGCTAAACTGCATTTACGATAATTGACAAATCACTGCTGTAAATGTTGAGATACTTCAGCAGGTTTAAATATGATTTTTATGATCATTTTTATAGGATCATGTTGTAAGTGCCGTCATTCTTACAATGAAGAATACATTTCTAACTCTTGATGAGTTCAACCAACTTCTCTATGCTTCTGGTGTGTCCATGGTGGGGCACCGTTCATTTTCTGGAGATGATTCCCTCAGAGTTTCTACAGTAGATTCTGAGAGTTCTCTTCACCCTATCTTGCCTGCTGTCTGGAAACCAAAGCCTCTTTGGACTGGGAAGCAGGTCAGAGAGGGAGTTCATATGTATGCTTTGAATTACATTGATTCATTGACACATCTTTAGTCTTAATATCTTTTCTGTTCTAGGTCATCACTGCAGTTTTAAACCATTTGACAAGAGGTTTCGCACCTTGTAGTATCAGAAGCAAGGGAAAAATTCCAGAGAAATACTTCTCAAAAGATAGAGATAGTACAGCTGATAGTAAGTTAGTAATTTGGAAAAATGAGCTTGTACGTGGTGTCATTGACAAGGCACAATTTGGGAAATATGGGTTGGTCCACACTTTTCAGGAGTTGTACGGATCAAATGTTGCCGGAAATTTGCTGTCTACCCTAAGTCGCTTATTTACCATATTCTTGCAGGTCAGTTGTTTTAATCAGTTTGTTCTTGCAATAACATAGGTCATGCTCTGATGCTTCATGATTTGCAGGTTTATTAATTATTGTACAATATCAATCTAGTTTTTTTGATAGGCAGTGACAAGTTCTTCCTCCATCCCAAAAAGATCTTTATGTTTACTATTCACATGGTCAAACTTTTTCACTTTATTTGCTTATTTTTCTTATTCATTTGATTAAATAATAGTCATGTCACCTCTTGTTTTGTAGAACTTTTAATCATAGTTTGTAAGGCGGTGAGGCGAGGCGCCAATGTACCTTCATATCGCCTAGGCGACGACTAGGCGACATACATACCTACATATATATATATATATATATATATATATATATATATGTCTTATACATTTTAAGGAAGCTTGATCGAGACAGAAAACTGAGAGAGAGGTTTAAAATGGGGGTTTTCAAAATTTTAAAGGGGCCCAAGGCATCAAGGCACAAAAAAATGGGGTTTTAAAAAAAGTGGGTTTTTCAAAAATGTGTGTGTGTGGGTGTATACATACATACATACATACATACATACATACATACATACATACATATATATATATATATATATGTATATAAATTTATACCAATATTGAAATGAAGTGAATTGAAAATAGCTTCATTTAAACATCGTAAAGTACAATGTCAAGTTCATTTTGTGACGGAGGAAGTATCTTGGTCCTCAACTTCTCAATTGACCTAGCAAAATGAAACAAAAACCGGAACCCAAGCCGAGTAACCCAAAGTTGTATTTAGTCAAGCCGAACTTATTCATATATTAAGTGCAAAACCGAGTAAACCTAAAATGATCAAATCTGAACCAATTTTATTCACAACTGAAACATACTGAAACCAAAATAGTCAAATATTACCTTTTTTTAGCCCTTGCTTTTTTGGTTAAGATTTTAGAGTTGGATGTTGGAAGAAACTTGAAGAATTTAAGTCTTAAAAAGTCACTCAATTAAATCATCACCCAATTAAATATGTAAGAAAACTCTGACCTTGGATAAAAAAGAATTCATCATTCTCTCTGTTTGAGGTGGTATGTTATAAATTTGGATGTATAATTTTAATGTATAATCATCAAATATAAATACTTTTATTAAGTCGTTGTTGGAAGAAACTGGAATGAGTTGGACGGAAGTAGAAGGAATTGGAAGGCACTAGGAGTTCAAAAAAAGTTGAAAATTAAATTTTCCTACTCAAAAGAACAGGACCTTACTCTTACAGGTGCGGCAAAAAACACGCGCACGAAGCACCGTGCAGGTTCTGGTGCGGCGGTGCGTGTGGGTGTGTTAGCGGTGCCTTGGGTTTGCTGACCACTGCTGCATCACCGAGAGAGAAGACGAAGAAAGATCAGGTCCGCTGGAGTCCAGACCATCTGATGTTGCTCTTTGATACAGACATCACCGGAGGAGGAGTCGCCGAAGTCTCTCCTGAATACTCGTTGTCGTCGTCGTTGCCAATCACGGGCGCAGGCGGTTGGATCAAAGAAAAAGAAATGCCAGATGTGAGTGAGGTTTCCTTGCGACTGTTAATCCAGGAAGAAAATGAAGTGAAGGACGGGAGTTAGGAGTTAGGACAAATAAATACGGAGTCTAGGGTTTACACACTTTGGGCTTGTTTGGGCCCGTAGTGTATAATTCTTATTCCAAGTCTTCACGTACACGGACTAACTTCAATCATTATATACAACTTCAATTATATTAAATTAATAAAGTTTAATTAAAGAAAAAGGGACTAAGTACATTACTCAAATTATTAGGAGTATATATGTACATGGTAAGTGGTTTGATGTGAACTTTATTGTTAATTCAAGACTTGTTTTATGTTTTGTATCTATTTTGTAGGATGTCATGTGTTTCATTTATGTAAAATTAAGATAATTGTTATCTTCTGTAAATACTTTGAACATAAATACATGTATTTCACAAAGAAATATTACTATAAAAAATACATGCATAAAGAAATTTGCCGCGCCCTCACACTGTTTTTACTGAAAATTTCCGCACCCACGCACCAGTCGCGCACCCGCACAGCACCCCCATATGTGCTTCATAGGTTAGAGTTCTTAGAAAGCGCAACAACAGACATCAAGTTAATGGTAGAAAATGACGAGACTAATTTTTAAGCGTTATATTTAGAAGTTCAATATAAGGGACAGAATATATCGACCCAACCTTTATTGAAAGGCTTAAAGTGTAAGTAATTCAAAATTCAAATCAATCTTAATTTTGATCAAGGTCAAAGTCCCAATTATACAATTTCAGCGCAGCTTAGTGCTCTACCAATCCAAAATGGACCTGACCTGATATCCTCTCAAACTTATACTAATCCAGTTTAAAAACCCTGAACCTAAACTGACCTAACCTGTACTTGAACAGAACAAAAAAAGAAAAAACCCGAACCAAACCTTTATGACGCACTGAACTAAACCAATCATTACACAAATCCGTAATAGAACCCAATAAAACAGATTCTAATGAAAACTAAACCCGTGAAATTGTTTCCCAGGTGTACGTCTCATGATATTTTCCATGCATGTGGAAGTAAAGTATGATGATGAAAATTTTAAAATTTTTACCTCATTATTTTTTCTAATGACGGAATCCAGCATAAAAATTGCACCTATGTGTTTTGCATTAGTTTAATGTCTTACATAATTTACTATGGTACTACGGAGTATGAATTAAATGACACTGAGCCCAACTACTTCTAGCTGGGATTAAGGTGCTGATAATGATGGTGATGAATTTCCTTTCAATCTTGTTGGATCATATCCTTCTGTTGGTTACTTGCTTTCACCTCTATCACTCAGACTCATGGCTTCACATGCGGAGTTGATGACCTTATAATTTTGCCTGACTATGACTCTCAAAGGAAGGAGCAACTTGAAAGTGAAGATGTTGGTGAAGAAGTTCATGCTAATTTTGTTAAATTTAAACCTGGAGAGATAGGTAATACATCTTTTGTTGCAAAGTTTCCCTTTTAATTTTATTTTAGCAGCATGCACTAATTAAAGTTTAATTTAATGAATATGCATATAGCGATATGAATTTTCTGACATTATAGTCATGCATGGCATTTCATAATACTGTGTATTATGCAACAATTACAAATTAAATTCTCAAGCTGTGTTGTCTAGCATTACACTTCATAATTTATTATTGTTTAATTAGTCATTCCTGCAGCACAGGATGTTTTGATGAAATATATGTTGTGGAAACTGAATGCTTTAAGTAGTAAACAATGTGAAAAAGTAGATGCTTTTTATTGCATAAAAAAGGAAGGCCTCATGTTATATAACTCCTTCCGTAATAAAATTACTGAGAAGGGAAGCCTGCAACTTCCATAATGTTTATTTTTGCACTTCTCATCATTCTATGTTAGCCGTAGTTCATGCTTATAATCAATTTAGCAGAAAGAGATTAGGACACCAGTATACAAACTTTATGCATGCTACATATACTTGAATTTGCCCATGAGTTAAGATCATTCATTAAAATATCAACTAGTGCAGTCTCTTATATATGTGCAGTGTTTGAGGAAGTGTCAAACTAATTAGACAATGTTTGTTCGCTTATATTTGCATTTCTATGAGTGTTTCTTCCTTGATATTAATCCATGACCTGAAGTTTCCATAAGCCCCGTTTGGCATCAGTGTTAAAGATTAGCGTTCGCGTTTTGAAAAGGCTATCCGACGGTAGCCTTTAGCGTTAGCGTTTTCAAAATTAATCTACACCGTTAAAATTTTATCCAAAACGCTAACGCTAATCGAAATCGCTGTTCCCAAACACAGCCATAAGAAATAAATATCTGGGCCAATTTTCAATTTATGTGCTACCCAAATAGTGTTTTTGAAATAGTGAAAATGATTTCAATATCATTGTTATGCTTGATTATCTGCAGAAACTCTTCATTTATGTAAATTTGCTGGAAACTATTTTTGAGTTGATCACATTTTGATTAGGCACAAATCAGTTTTGCATGGTAAATCATGAAAAAAAGAGTATTCAGAGGGTGAGGTTGGAGAGAAACTAATGAATGGGTTATTTTTGCAACACCTTTTTTTTGTAAAATGAAATAAACTGCTTTCAGATAATTAACCGTTCTCTGCAAACCTTGATAATTCATTTTCTCAGTTCTTATCACATTCCTTTGGTTATACTCTTATATATTGTCTTTTTTGACATTATTTGTTTGATTTTATAGGTCCTGCAGAACTCCAGCTAGAGATTGAAAAGGCAATTAGCATTGATAAAGAAAATGCTATAGCCTCCTTGGACATGAGGATGAAAAATCAATTGAATAAAAAAGCTAAAAACATGGATAAAGATTTGCTTCTCAAAGGATTACTGAGACCTTTTCCCAAGAATTGTATCTCTTTAATGACTGTCACTGGGGCTAAGGGAAGTACGGTATGTTTTCTATATACTTCAGTGAGTTTTACATAATTTTTAATGGTTCCTGCTCTCCCCCCCACCCACACACCAATCCTACACAGCTCTTTTTCCCTATAAAATCCTCCCAACAAATTAATGGCTAAGAGGCTAAGATGGTACTCCTCCCAACAAATTAATGGCTAAGAGGCTAAGAGGGTGTCTGGGGTTGCATTTAAAAACTGCTTTTGAGCTTCTATTTTATTACAATACAATTTGTCTTGTTTGTCAATTTGCTTCTGTTTATAGATTATGACTTTTGAAGTCTAAGATGGGCTCCAAAAGTACTTTTAAGCAAAGTCAAGTTTTCTGCTTTCTGCTTTCTCTTAAAGTTTCTGCCTTTTCGTCAATCTACCACACTTCCAAACACCCTCTAAAATTAATGATGTTATGTTTTCCAAATTCCAAAGCAATCTGTTTCTTCCCAAAAGTAGTTCTAGTGTGATTTCCGATGGGATTGGAATGTCCAGTTTGCTTTATGGGGATTTTATCCTCATATATGTGATTGCATTTTATGTGAGCTTTTTTCCAAACCGTACATCTAGTTAAAATAACTGCATGCTTCCTTTTAAGCCCAGTAATATTGATTAACCTTGTAATATTGGTTTAAGAAAAATACTATTAGGCTGACTCCTAATAATTTTCTTGAAGATAAAAATAATTTCTGGAAGTAATTAGTTCTCAAATCAGAAAAATCATAACAAAATCACATAATTTTCTTAAGATTAATATTTTCTGTATAATATTGATCTCCATTATTATAGTCAACAAGGTAAATCAACTATTATAGTATAGCTTGTCGCCCTAAGGGAAACACATGTTATTACCTTTGAGAAATAAATTCAACTAGTTTTAATGTTCGCTCATAACGCTCATAGTTAGAAGTTGATTCAAGAAAAGGTCTCGTAAGTCATAAGATTAACAGTTAGAAGTTGACTTAAATCATTTAAGAAAAGAGACTTGACATCTCGTTTGCTTGTAGTGACTTAAGGGAAGTAGCTATGTCTAATAAGCCATTTATCATCTATAGATTAAATCAAAATATATACCTTCATTACTCAATTAAAAACTTGAGGAGAATCCCCACTGCTGCATTTTTCTCTGATTTTTTACAGGCTTGATTAATTTGCTACGTGTTACCTGATAAGCCTAATAATTTTGATACAAGAAATAAGACATCACATCTCTTTTGCTTTTTTCCGATGTGGAGAATTAATTATGTACAGTATTTGTGAACATATGTAAGACATAAATAGAGGAAAAACTTATCTCTTGATGATCACAAATTGTTTGTAATGCCTAATGCCCTATACAATAGCTAAACACAATGACTTAAGTGATTACTTTCATGCCCCTTTTATGTCCATCACAAAATAAACTTTTCACTTCTCTTATGTGCCACACAACATATCTCTCTTTTTAACTAATTCCAATCGCACTTTTTACTTCTCAATGCTATTCTTAAACCCGGTGAAGTCAAAATGTCAATTTTTTTTTTTGGGGGGGGGGAGGGAGGATGACGAAGTCCTTAGTGTGACCTATATTATGAAAACAATATTACAGTTTATGCGACTTTAGAATAGAGCTACAATACTAGAAGAACCAGGAACCATTGCAGCAGTGGAACAGAGACAAAATGACCTTAAAGAGATGAAAAATGACCATAAATACTGTAAAATGCATACTGCATTTGACGGACCATTATATTTTAGGAATCGTTTAAGATTTTAATTGAGGAGAAGTTGAGAAAACCCCCTAAGTTAGATCTCTGCCACTTTCCATTAACGGAGCATTCATTTGTGCACACTTTCAAAAACCTGTGGAGAAACCCTTGCTGCTGCCTTTTCTTGATTCTATTGTGATAGGCTTGATTATTTGTGATATGTTTCCTGTTAATTTTGCTTGACATTTTGTGCAATGTGGTTGAAATCTCCTAAACATTTAAACATTTCTTTACTTATAAAGTACTCCCTCCGTCCTGGTGTTTTCGTTCACTTACATTTTGGCACAAATACCAACATAAAGGTCAAAGGAGAAGAAAAAGTCTTAAATACCCCTACTCTTTGGCCCGTTCAAATAATAAGAATGGATTAATTTATTCGGGGGCTTCAGATGAAGAACATTTGTACAAGAAAAGCTAGGTTAAATTACTTCTAGGAATTTCAGTCAGAGAGAGATTGTTCTGGAACATAGCTCAAAGTCAATAATGATAAAATCATCCAAATCTTCATATTCACTAGAGTACTAGATAAATCTTTGGAGTAAATGGCAATAACATCATCCAGATCTTTAGCAAGATGAAGGACAAGAGCGAGAACATCGACTCCTCACCAGTCTCGTTGAACCCTAACTGCAGTCCATTTGCGGTCAATCCCATATTCCCCTCGGAATGGCAATCAGTGATTGCTTCTCCGGGTCTGACCGAAGAACCATGGCTGTGACATCTGTGATGCTGCGTTGATGGAGGGTAAAGTAGGCATTATACTTTTTTCTTACCATAAAATTAAAATGGACAAACCGACAAATATACTGGGACAACTCAAAAAGGAATACTGGTCAAAAACACTGGGACAAGCATAGTTATGAAAGGCGAGTGCCATGGTCGCCTATGGCGGTTATGGCGCTGTGGCATTCCTCCAGCGCCTAAATTTGATCGGGCGAGGCGATGTACCGGAGGCGCGCCATGGCGGTCGCCATTTTCGATGAAAGCTATGTCGTAAGGTGATCGCTACTCATGCCTTCCCGGTCGCGGCCAGTTTTATTTTAATTTTTCCACCCATTCCTTCAGATTCGTCAGTGCTTCACTGTATGGTCATATATTAGCTGCTCTCTTTGCTGGCTTCTATTCGCAACTTGCTAGTGCTGTTATCGACTATTTGTCCTAAACCTACCCGACCCTATCCAGCCCAACCAGCCCAAGGTTTCATTCATATCTTATGATGAAAACCCTATCCTGTTTGCTATAAGCTTCATATATGGTCAGGTTTCAGTTATGATTTTCATTAAACTTTCAGTTTTGTATTTTTTTTATATTTATTTGTTTACATTTTTTTATTTTTCAGTATTCCAAATCTTTTTTTTGTGTGGAATTCTTATTACATAAATAAATTTAAAAGTCATTTTATACAATATATTCAATTATATATATACATATATATATGTATGTATGTATGCTTTTTTTTTTCGCCATTTGACTGCCTGCCATTCGCCACTCGCCTTTCATAACTATGGGGACGAGAAGTAGTCCCCATAGTTAAATCTTTGTAAACATTTACTCCTTCATAGAGGCCCCACTGTCCCCTCTTCTACCCTATCATTTATGTTTACAAATTCATCATCGCATTCTTGGATTGGACTGTCAGGTCATTTTTTAATAACAGAGTGTGCTACTTGTTTTAGAAAGCAATGATATAAGAGATAATATTTGTATCATTAGGATGTGATGTTAAATCATTAATGATTAGAAGTTCGAGACCTAACATTTTGTGAACATCGTGGGTTTTGCATGATCAACATGTTGCACTCACTAATCCGCACATTGTTATCGTCAGTATCCTTCAGTTTCGTTGTAGTTAGTGACGTGTGTATAATTGATTGTTTGTATTCTTCTTGTAGGTTAATTTTCAACAAATATCATCATATCTGGGCCAGCAAGAGTTGGAAGGAAAACGAGTGCCTAGGATGGTTTCTGGGAAAACCTTGCCATGCTTTTCCCCTTGGGATTTCACTTCCAGGGCAGGAGGCTTTATCACTGATCGATTTCTTACTGGTCTCCGTCCCCAGGAATATTACTTCCACTGTATGGCTGGCCGTGAAGGGTATACCCTCTTATTCCTTGTTTTCCAATTTTCTCCAAGTAATACTTTACGTTTGGGCATGCTCACAATTTAAAATGCTTAGAATACTAGTTCACACGTCTGTTTGGTCAAATGTTTGGTAGTTGGCTGTTTGGTAATTAACTGTTTTGAGAAACATACTCCATCTATTTCAAAAAAGAGTTCCGGTTTTGTCTTTTGGCAAGTTTAAGGGGAGTGTTTTTGTAGTTGACTTTCCAATTTTGCTCTTGCCTCTTGGATGTGATGGGTAAAAGTAGGATGTGTTTTGTAGATTAATATAGAATAGAGATGATGTGATTGGTAGGGTAGTAATTTGTAGAGGTAAAAGTGACTTTTTAATGGAAAGTGAAAGTGTTTTGTGGGCAGAGAAAGTGAAATCAAAATTTGTTTTGTGAAACAGAAAGAGTAAATCACACCACATCATTAATTTAAGGCAATCTAGGTCAACAAAAATATATGGGCGGTACGTTTTTACTTTTTTTATAAAGTGCAATTGTAAGTAGACTTATTTATAAAAAAATAATTAAATTCAGTTATAAGCATTTCTAATGAAGGTATTAAGAATTTAAAAGATAATAAAAGTTAATGTCATTTTAAAGAAACATAATTATAAAATATTGCAAAATTACGAAGGGACATTTATAATAAATTAGTTCATTTAACATTGTAATATTTTATGTCGACCTTATAATGGTAACTATTTGTTTGTGTACAAAGAAAATATTTTTTTAATAAATAATGACAGTAAATTTTTTTAAGTATTTTATTGACATTTATAACAATAATAATAATTGTAATAGAAAATATTTAGTTAAAAGTTAGTTTTTAAAATGTAAATGATTTTATTATAATTTCAGTTCTTTTCTTTTATAATATACACAGTCAAAAGTCATCTTTACCTTTTAAATTCTTCTTTCTCATGAGGTTGCATTCACATTTATATTTATCATTTTCATGCATTGAAATTAACTAGGTTGTCTTATTTATGCATGCTATTTGTCATTGACTAGAATAGATATCATGGTTCTTGCTACACGCAAAGTGTTTTATATGCATTCAATCGCATCAAGCCCAATGATACTTTGGTTTTCATTCATAGCAAACTCAATACATAAATTGTTCATCTTTATATGTCACCCATGTTATTTATTATGCATTTATCTCATTGTGCCTTGCACTTGGTATAACTTGTGACATTACTTTTATTCCTGCAAATTATCCAATTTTCCTGACCAATAGTCTTGCTATTGGGAAGTTTGGTATTGGTGCACTTTTTAATTGTTTATCTTTTCACATTTGGTCATGGTTTTCGTACTTGGGGACCAACTCTTTGAAAAGAGAGATAAAGCAAATCGCCTTCCTTCTTCCATGCCCTCCTAGAGCTATTGATACGACCCCAAATAATCCCGGTCATAATCAGGTGAAAAATGTGACCTGGTCAGAGGGATCCAAGACAAAACAGCCGAGTGGGGTTAGTGGGTGAACGGGTATTAGTCAAGTGGGGCTAGTGGGTGAATGGGTCAGTTATTATTTAGAGAAAACTGCAGCATAACTGCTTCTGTTCTTTGAGTTTATGTTAGTAGTCTATGATCTTTAAGGTTGGTCTGGTTTATTTTGAATTACCTAAGTACAATTCTGTACCGGAGATTTGCCCCTCTCAAGGCGGGCCAATTAGTGAAATTTATCTTTGTTTGCATTTTAATGTTCTGGTTCTTATCATTTGGTTCCGGCCTTCCGGGAAGGAACATGGTGCAAACACGTAATAGCGATGGTAACAGTTCCTCAGCCGATCAAATTTCTGCGCAATTGGCCGCCATTACAGCCAAACACGAGTCAATAGATTACTGAAGGAAGATTCACAGCCCTCAAACACAATTCCAAGGAGAAATATAGCGGATCCAGGTTTTATGATGGAGAGGCTTCCTGGAACACAACAAACAACAACAATGACCCAGTTGGATCCCACAATAGTAGGGTTTGGGGAGGGTGTACGTAGACCTTGCCCTTACTCGAAATTAGGGAGGCTGTTTTTTTGAGACCCCCAGCTCAAGTAGCACAGAAAATATAGGAGCACAGAGAGAAAGCACAGAGCATACAAAGCATAGAATGCACACAACAAAACTTACAAAGCATAGAAAGCACACACAGACACAGCAGACAACAAAGCATTCAACGTACACAACAAGTGCAAAAACCATCACCTAGTCCAAAGCGTGTACCTGACCACCCTAATCCTAGCTTTCCAAACAATCCTACTTAAGGCCACCTCCTCCCAATATCAAATTCCCAAAATTTGGAGGGTTCTTAAGCCTGAAAGTATTTAGGTACTAAAATATACCCTATATGGAGAAGGTGGATGTCGCTTCTATGCACTTAGAGGGATATGCACTAGACCTCTATTTGTGGCTGTCGGCTGATCATCCAATTTCGTTCTGGGAAGAACTCATTCAAGCTCTCACCAAAAACTTTGTCCCGGCCAAGTTTCAACGCGTGTAGCATTAGACAAACGTTTCGGTTCAGGAGTATAGGCAGGAATTTTCTAAAAGATCCTCAAGAGTATCAGATTGGCGAGATCATTGCCTTTTAAGAGTTTTCTTGAATGGTCTCAAAGAAGAGTTAAAGGCTGATGTCCGGGGTCACAAACCTCGAACCGCTTACAATGCTAGCATTAGAATTCAAGGAAAAAACAACTCACAACCAGATGGGAACACAATCACAGACTACAATTACCACCAAACAAGCCCTTTTACCAACCCGAACAGGCTGAACAGCTACAAACGCAGCCCTAGTTCCTCTGCTTTGCATTTCAGACACAGAGAAACAAGCTAGGTATGTCAAAGGAGAGTGTTTTCGATGTGGAGAAAAATATGGTCCAGGGCATAAATGCAAAACAAGCTCATTACAATTGTTGGAGGCTGGTGATCTGAACACTAAAGACTTAGGGATAGGTGAAGAAGAAGCTGAAGAGTTAGCTGAAATTAGCTTGCACGCCATCATGATTATGCCGCATCACTCAGCTTTGGTTGTCCATGGCTACATCAATTTGTCCGAAGTGTCGGTTCCAATTGAATGTGGCTCAACCCATAATTTATTGCCAATTTCTTGGTTCCTAAGGTCAGCTTATCAACCCAAAAAATTGCTCCCTTTGGGGTGAGAACTGGCAATGGAGACATCATTTGTTGCAACCGAATCTGTAATTATGTTTTGCTGCATATAGCTGATCTCCAAATAACTCAAGATTTCTATCCTTTTTCACTGGGGGGGGGATGTGGTTCTTGGTATACAGTGGTTGTCTACACTGTACCTGAAAATTGGAGTAAAATGTTCCTGAAATTTACTATAGAACGCTGAGAGTATAAGCTGCAGGGAATGCCATCTGAGCTTTATAATTCGGAAGCTTTTCATCACCTCATCATCGAGATATTCGAGGAAGACTCCTCGGGAGGTTCGGTTCTGTGGTTTAGTAGCTGATTTGAGAACTAGTCGCTTGTCCGTGGAGGATGCATTGCTACGACCCCGAATTATCCAGGTCATAATCAGGTGAAAAATTTGACCTGGTCAGAGGGATCCAAGGGAAAACAGCCAAGTGGGGTTAGTGGGTGAATGGGTAACATTCAATTGGGGTTAGTGGGTGAAGGGGTTAGTTATTATCGGCATAACTGCTTCTGTTCTTTGTATCTATGTTAGTAGTCTAGGATCTTTAAGGTTGTCTGTTTTGTTTTGAATTACCTGATTACACTTTTGTACCCGAGATTTGCCCCTCTCGAAGCAGGCCGACTAGTGAAATTTATCTTTGTTTGCATCTTAATTTTCTGGTTCTTATCAGCTATCCTCTACTCCTCTAGTGGTTTTGGTGAATATTTGAGTGCATCTGAGCTTAAGCATTATCCGCACATTCATAACCGGAAGACTTACTTTTTGTTTTATGAACTTCTTCTCACATTATGGTGCTAACTCATCCCTTTTTATACACAGACTAGTAGATACTGCTGTTAAGACTTCCCGCAGTGGATATCTACAGAGATGCTTGGTAAAAAATCTGGAAAGCCTTAAAGTTTGTTATGATTATACTGTTCGCGATGCAGATGGATCCGTCATCCAATTTTACTATGGCGAAGATGCTGTTGATGTGCATCGAACTAGCTTTTTGAAAAACTTCAAGGCACTTCAAAAAGTATGCTCTGTATATATATGTGTGTGTGTGTGTCTAATACTCTGAAACTTATCATTGGAGGAGAATGTTCAGTGATTTGTTTTTCCTTTTATTGATTTTTAGAATGAAGAAACCATCCGTCAAAAGTTTCGTCATGCACGTGAGTTTGATTCTTATATAAATAAATTGCCTGATGGACTTGAAGAGGAAGTGAAGAAGTTCTTGATGGCAAGGAAGGTAAAGGTAGATGGAAAAATGAATAAGTCCTTGGCAAAGCGGTTTGCCAAGGAAAATCTGGAGAAGCAGTCTGAGGGAAAAAATAAGTTAGCAGCTTTTTTAAAATTAGTGGAACAAAAGTATTTGTATAGTCTGGTGCAATCGGGGGAACCAGTGGGTGTCATAGCTGCTCAGTCCATAGGTGAACCATCGACTCAGATGACGTAAGATACATCCTTTCCGTTCTTCTTTAAATTTCTATATGTTGATTTGCATTCTTTAGCTCTGTGGAAAAGATTGAGCATGCAGTGCTGGTTCCACTGTGGCTTTCAAAGTCTCATTCCTTTCTTTAGATTTATAATTTTCTTGAACGAGATAACAAGGAATATTTTTCATCAATTTTTGTCAATAAGGATCCACCATATATGTTTTAGCTTGAGGTCTGGTATTGTTCTTGTTCCCTAATTGCATTAGTACTGGTTTAGTTTGTATTACATACAATAGATGCATTTGTCTTGAATTCTATTTCCCGTTAATTAAGGACTTATGTAATAGTATTTGCCAGGGTTTGTTGTGGGAACAAAAATAAACTTTGGAACGTAAAGTTGGACAGACCCTTGGCAATGTCAGGATCGTCTCTCTTGGTTTTGAATTCATTAAAATATGAACCCTTACCCTTTTCATTTTGTGAAATTGAGCTTGATGTAGTGAGCGTTCCATGGCAACGTGCAAAGGCATCATTGTCTTATTGATAATTCTTCAGTTTATTTCCAAGATTGTTTGGAGTAGATTGAACTTTTTTTTCCTTTCTTTAGATTCTTCTTCTCTTTTGTTTCTGGTATACCTTTCAAATACACCAAATTTAACAGGTAAGAGCTTTGGATATGATTTTTTAAAGTTTATCTGTGCTGGATTTGAGGTTTACGTTGTACAATTTTAATCTGCAAGTTTCAAAGTTAATGCTATTATGTGCTCTATTGTTCTAATACATCTACATCATATTTCTGATTTAAGACTTTGTTGTTCCCAGACTTAACACATTCCATCTTGCTGGCCGTGGAGAACTGAACGTGACACTAGGTATCCCACGTCTTCAGGAAGTTTTGACGACAGCTTCAGAAGTGATTAAGACACCTTTTTTGTCATGTCCTTTCCTTGGGTGGACAACAAGGTAAATTGTAGTCATCTACTATATGCAGTGCGTAGGCATCACAATTGTTGGTTAATGTGACACAGTAGCCAGACTCATATATGTGCATATCTGCAATAATCTTAAAACCTCATACTCTCCACCCTCCCCAGACCCCGCTTGTTATATTTTGTCCAGCTCATTCTTGTTGTAACATATAAATTGGTATGATTGAACTCTTGAGGAGAGTGAAGTGCTTAACTCGTTGTTTTAGGGTACATAGACACCACTAAGATGGCAGGGAACCTCTCTTCTGAGAGATGGGTGATGATGCAATGAATGCTGTTAGTTTCAAGTCTTCGATGTCCCTGGGACACTGACAAGAGTCGGAAGGGCCACTAACCCAGTAGTGGAATTCTATTGTGGATAGAAGGGCTCATTGAACTCTTTGCTTACACTGAATACGTCTGGGCTAAAGGGCATTTAATTCGTTTAATGTTTCAGGGATGAGGCTCGGGCTCTTCTGGCTAAAGTGATGAAGATCACTGTTGCAGACGTGATTGAGAGCATGGAAGTCCGTATTACACCCTTAATTGTTAAGGACACCATTTCTCAAGTGTTCAAACTTATTGTGAAGCTCAAGAAGCATGATTTTGTTTCATTGAAAGATTGTCAGCGTACTCTTAGAACCACCTTTTTGAGGGCATTGGAGGATGCAATCGAAAATCATTTGGTTTTGCTTTCAAAAATTAGTGGCATTAAATATTTCAAATCCAGTAGCCAGCAATCTGTGGCATTAAACGGACCAGATGCTGATGCTTCTTGCTCCGAATCCCAAGTTGATACAGCTGCTGATGATAGTGAGGAGGAGGAGGATAGAGCTGACGATCTTGGTTCTGATGCTCAAAAACAAAAAGACCAGACTACCGATGAAGTGGATTATGATGATGAAGAATCTGATCATGAGACTGCTGAAGAGGACTCACCGTCTTCTAAAACGGGCAAAGATGAAGCGGAAGATGCTGCCATTAGGATGGAAGAAGAGGCTGTTGAGTTTGATGGTGAAGGGGAAGATACAGAATCATCAAAGACTAAATCGAGACAAAAAAAGACCAAGTCAACATCTAAGCAAAATGCGGAAAAGGAAAAATATCTTCAAAAGGATTCGGATAGGGCCATCTATAAGGCTGTGAAAGGATTGTTTTTCGAGGTCCACTTCAATTTTACCAATGAACCTCATATCTTACTAGCACAGGTATCTTCTACTACCTCCATCCCTAAATTATCGTCCTCTTTACTATTTGAGGCTTCCAATAACTTTTGTTTGTGTATGTGTTTTCATTGATCATTTGATAAAATGAAATATGCATTTCACCACTTGTTCTGTTGAACTCTTGTTGTTTTTAAATCTGTTGTACTTTTTATTTCTATATTAATTAGTAAAGAGAAAAAGACTAAAGTAGGAGTAAAATATTGAAAATATGCCAAAATAGGAAGTTCCATTTTTTATTCCCGAAATAAGAGTTAAAATGCATTTACAGTGTCAATTATGAGTTTATGACCGTAAACATTACCAAAACGTTTTGTGAAATGCACATATATAGTGCCAGATTACCACAGTGCGAACTCCTATTTTGGAGATAAAAACATGGAGCTCTTATTTCGTTACTTTTCTCTATGTTTTATTCCTATTTGAGATGATTTTTCTCATTAGTAAATAAAATCAGTTTAAATGAGATGAGATTTTGTAGGTTGTTCCAAAGAGGATGATAATTTAGGGACCGAGGGAGTACTACTTTTTAAAATTTATTTTAAAATGATTTATCCTGTGGATTTGTATTTTTCATGTGTGAGATCCTAGTTTAATTTGATTGATATATGACCTTCACTAGAAGAATGTATTAAAGAAATTGGTAGAGAACAGTTTTCTAATGGATATTCTATATTAAAAGAAGTTTTAAGAATGATCAATTACCACAAATACCCTTAACCTTTAATGGATCCACATCGAAACTAGAAAATATTGAATGGATTGGGATTGCTTTTTTGTTTGTTTCTCCCTCCCTCCCGCTGAAGACTTGACACACTTGCAGGTGGCGGAGAAGACGGCAAAGAAAGTTTACATAAAGAGTTCCGGGAATATCCATCAATGCAAAATGGTCAATTATGAAGTAGGTGAAAATACAGTGCTTTGGGACGGGGAGAAAACAGAAAAGGCCAAGGGGCTTCAGAAGGACGACAGCAACGATGCTCCACTTTATTGGGCACTGAAAGCCGGCGGGATAGATTTTGGTGCTTTGTGGGAATTGCAGGATAAACTGGACGTACGCAGGATATATAGCAACAACATATATGCAATGCTGAGAACCTATGGGGTTGAAGCTGCCAGGGCAACCATCATCAGAGAGGTGAAGACTGTCTTTGGCATTTATGGTGTGGAGATCGACTATCGCCACATGAGCCTGATTGCCGATTACATGACCCACACCGGAGGGTACACAGCATTGAGTAGACATGGAAGGATAGGCGATTCCTTCTCGCCGTTTTTAAAGATGTCCTTTGAAACGGCTTCAAAATTCATAGTCGAAGCAGCATCTCAAGGGATGATTGACACTTTGGAGACCCCATCTTCCCGGCTTTGTGTTGGCTTACCCGTAAAGATGGGCACTGGATCATTCGACTTGATGCAGAAGCTGGAAATCGACGCTCATTAAAGGAGCCAGTCTTGTGCAGTGTATTATACCAGTTTGTCTTATTTTTAATGTTATAGAAGTGCTGTTTTGATCAGTTACTCTGAGGTGATATTTCTTCATTAAACACCATTTTTTTTTTGCTTCGGAATGTATTATTATGTGCTAAAAATCATTTAAAAAAATTCAGTCCTCAAAAGATTAGGGTGGTCCTGCAAATCACTCAAGTGGATGGGTAAAATGTCTCGTCCTCTTTTACATTTGAAATTATTATTCGATTATAATTAATCTCATCCTTGTCCCAAAACTGTGATTAACGAAGTGGTGTTTTCGCGTTGCTCGAATTTTTTGTTTGTTGAGGAACGCACGAGTTTTAAGCTAAAATTTATCTGTATGCGCATGTTGAAAGTTCGTCATGGTTTATTTGGCTACTTGTAATTTATAGCAACTTTGTGTTCTACTCCTGTTTCAATGTGTTTTTCTAGTTTTTTTTTGTACGCTTGATTGAGATAAATCTTGATAATTAAAAAAATATTGCTTCGTAGTGTATTCCGTATATTAATAAAATATTTTTTTTGTATGTTTAATACTCATGTTCTAAATTATTATTTTTTAAATTGAGTTGCTTGTTTTTATTTTTAGGGTCAAATTTTATTTATTTATTTTCACTATTTTGTTATCTATTTGGTAAAATAATATAATGATGTCAATTTCATAGAGTTTTTGATAGGTACTCTGTCCAAATTATTTTTTGTGTACTATATACACATGATCAAATTTATTCATTTTGTTGATCTATTTTAATTGTCCATTTGATAAAATAATGAATTGGTATTTAAGCTATTTAATCTGAATTATTTTTGGGCTAGACTAATGATTCCTACCCAATTATGGTATCAAAGTCAGTTTTAAGCTTTTAGCGCACTTCATTAGTTTAGGGGTAAGTTTAGAAGTTTATTTCTAGTGGTTCATTAGTCTTTAGCCCAACTTTTTGTGTGAAGTGTAAACCCAACGGCATGTGGGCCCTTTAATTTGGTCGCGTGTTGGACAGTCCATATTTAGTGCCTTGTGATCTTTTTGGTATTGGCGCTAAAAAATACATTCATAGGGATGATAATTCATTTGCAAGTAGTCTGTCGGTTAGATTAAAAAGATCCCGGTTGTCTACTTGAGGAAATTTAAAGTATTTCACAGTGAAATTTTAAGAGAAAAATAAATCGGTATATAAACTCTTGAGTTAAACTAAGTAATCGATTGGATTTAATTTTTTAATATATGACTTAGCTCAAGTATCTTATATCTTAGTCCAATGATCTTTACCCCATCATAATTGTTATCAAATTCTTAGCATATTGTGGTTTAATAATTTGGTTTGGTTTCAAAACCCAAAGTCGAAACTGATACCAAACCAAAACGGTTCGAATTAATTGTTTTTTATTTCATTTTTTGTGGTTGAGTTTATTTTTTGGCAAAATTTGACTGATTTTGATTCATTTACCATTTTTTATTTTGCCAACCTAGCCCTAGCTCCTCTGGATTTCAGGAGGAGGTATATGGTATAGTCGGCTATACTAGAAATAAAGTACAATCAGGTACTACTCATTTTTGAGATAAATAGTACTAATTCTCTCACACACATAAGTATTCATTTTGAAATAGCGTGGTACTCATTCTGAATTAACGTAGTACTCATTCTGAAATAACGTAGTACTCATTTTCACACATTCATTTAATACAATTATAATATTCATCTACAAATAATGTAGTGTTCATTCTGAAATAAAGTGGTGCTCATTCTCAAATAAAATAATGTTCATTCTCAAACAAAATAAAATTCACATGACTATTAATAGCCCTCTCTCTTTCTCTTCTACCTGACCGGACGAAATATCTAGGGTTTTCTCGATAACGTCGCTGGCGGCTGACGGAGCACCTCCCTTTGTCGTTTGTGCGCCTCTCCTTTGCCGAACTTCTTCGATCATCGTCCTCCCTTCATTGGCTCCTCTCCTCCTTCACTGAACTTCTTCAATTGTCGCCCTGCGTCTTCCATTTTCTTTTACCGGCTGTAACCAACTTTGAGTACAACCGGTTGTATAATATAATTTGCGGATTTCGAAGTATGTATTAACACACTATGCAAGCGCGAGATTGTTAATGAACACAGACTACGGAGTAACAATCAATTTGTAGAAAAAAAATTTTAAAAAAAATCACACCACGAGTAACATTCAGTACAAAAAAACAACCCTCTTCGCCATACCAAGAAGCACAAACAGTATTTATAAAATTCTTTTCGATACTAATCCCCTCTCCAATTCTTTTTGTTTATTTCACATTTTCACTATTTTTTATCTTATGTCAGAGTGTTTAAGTATGCGGTATTTCATATTTATTCGTATTTTTTCTTTTTCTTACACCTGAGTAAATTTTAAAATCAATATTTAATCATACAATCCTACATACTCCGTAGTAGTTTTTAAATTCTGGTGCTACTCTCTTATATGTCAAAAATAGTGGGATGAAGAAAGTGTCAATTTTAGATGTAGTTTAAATTATAGATAATCTTCAAGATATTTAACCTTGTAAAAAAGGTACGAAATGCACCACTCTAAGTCACTCAATATTACGCATATAGCACTCTTTAGTCTTTTATACGAATTTAGCTATTTATAGTGTCAATATCTTCCAAGTATACCCTCTATCTTTTATTATATTCTACTATTTTTAATTACTTTTAATTATTTGATTAAGCTTAAGTTATTCGCGTAGCCACTCCTCGTACGTGCGGCTCCTCATTCGTGTGTCTCATACGTGGGAGAACATCATTCTCTGCCGTTTACCATAGCTCTGCGAGATCCTCCTCATGCGCAGTTTACCAATGATGCCCAAACAAGTTCATACGTATTAAATTAAGGCTCTAAGAGTGCTATTTTGGTTTTTCTCCCAAATAAAAAAAAATTCTCTCCATCCGAAATTAAGTAGTCTATTTATTATTTACACGATCAAACATCATTCTTTTTTTACTTATTTTCGTTACTCGTTTGATGAAATAATATAATCATATCACCTCTTGTTTCGTAGAACTTTTGATATACTCCTAATTTTTTATGGATTAACATGTAAAATTTATTTATATTCTAAACTGTTGGCCCGGATGGGCTAAAAGTAACTTCCAGATCCGCCCAAATATAATTCGGGCTCGAGTCGGCCCGCCCATGTGGGTATTAAAGGTTGTCCATATCTGCGCTTTTTAAAGGGTGGGCTGGGCGGGCCAGACGGGCCGACCCTTGTTTGCACAGTCTAGTCAAAAATAGTGGGATGAAGAAAGGGTCAATTTTGGATGTAGTTTAAAGTCTAGATAATCTTCAAGATATTTAACCTTGTAAAAAGGGTACGAAAATGCACTCTAAGTCACTCAATATTATGCATATAGCACTCTTTAGTCTTTTATACGAATTTAGCTATTTATAGTGTCAATATCTTTCAAGTATATCCTCTACCTTTTATTATATTCTATTATTTTTAATTTCTTTTAATTATTTGATTAAGCTTAGGGTATTCACGTAGCCACTCGTACGTGCGACTCCTCATTGGTGTCTCATACGTGCGAAAACATCATCCTCTGCCGTTTTCCATAGCTCTGCGAGATCCTCTTCATGCGCAGTTTACCAATGAATAATGCCTAAAAAAGTTCGTACGTATTAAATTAAAGCTCTAAAAGTGTTATTTTTGTTTTTCTTCCAAATAAAAAAAAATTCTCTTCGTCCAAAATTAAGTAGTCTGTTTACTATTTACACGATCAAACATTGTTCTTTTTTTTTTTTACTTATTTTCGTTACTCGTTTGATAAAATAATATAATCATGTCAACTTTTATTTCGTAGAGCTTTTGATATACTCCTAATTTTTTATGGAGTAATATGTAAAATTTATTTATTTTCTAAATCCACTCCAACCGTCAGATAAATTGCATTGAAAATAATTCTAATCAAAATCGTAAACCAAAACAGACAATTTAAATTGGGACAAATGGAGTAAAACAAAGAATTCCACCATTTTTAAACAAGAATTTATCACAGTAAAAAGCAGTATCCACTATCCAATAGCATGTAACGAAGTACAATAATTTCTCGCCAACATTCCCCCCCAGGTAAGGGGCAGGGCGCCAGGGCATATGATCATATCCTCCTTTCCTCATAAAATCAGATATGATCATCTAAAATAACCCCTTCACTAATAAATAAATATTCAGTCTTCTTACAGAACTGTTCCAACAGAACTGTTCCACACCAACAGGAGTATCTCACTCTAGATTAGCTATACATAACAAAACTGCAACGGAAAACGATAACAATGGTGGGAAGTTCAAGCAAGGCAGGGACACCCATCCTCCCACCGGCTGAGAACCCCTTGTCAGACGTGGATGCCATTAACGACATTGCAGTGTACTTCAAAAGACCCTCCGTTTGGAAGGAGGGTGGGTCCCTTTTTGAGTTTGTTCTTTATCGTGGTGTTACCGTTAACTGTGCCCTTTGTCTTTGGGATGATGCCCTTCTTCTGGAGGACACTGTCTAGCTGCCCAACTGCTGCAGCTATGAGGCCTGCTTAGATTACCCATAAAGGTCAGTAACAATGGCTTAAAGGTATGATGAAGGGGGTTGAGATACTAGGGTAAGTGGTTGTTAGTTGTTACCTAAGAAGAGTGGGGAAGGCTTTCCTGGTCTTGATTTGAACTCGGGATGAAATTGAGCACCGATAAAGTAAGGATGATTGGGAAGCTCAACAATCTGGAGACCATTTGAACAAAGTTTAGTTGCATAGCAAAGAAAATAGCATTTGGTGAATCTGTATATCTTTAAAAAGTATGTATATATTTATACCCCCATTCGATTTCCAGATTCGTCTTTTCCAGTGAAATGGAGACCGGCGTCTTCAAGCTGCCCTACCATCTCAGGATTCACCTAGGTAACACAATGCATTAATTCATCTAGGGTCAGTAAGGTCCCACATGTGGGGTCTGAGAAGGATGGGGGTACGCAAACCATACACCTACCTATACAGGGAGAGAAACTGTTCCCAAAATACCCTAACCATCAAACGACTAACCTAGCCTATGAAAACCAGGACTTAGTGAACTAAATGGTGGTCAGCCTGGTCACAAACCTCATATCTGTGGCGATGCCTTTCGTCAATGAATCTCCTATTGCCATATCTGCAACAAAACACAGTTTTAGGATTGTGGCAACACATACAAAGGATTCAATAGAAAAAGAGAGAACTCTTCTGGTTTATGTGTGTGTGTGTGTATACACACACACACACACACATATAGGTTGACATAGGAGGAATGCTTACAATTTCGTAGATACAGAGTCCCAACGGTGAAAATAAGTCCTCCTAGATCCAAGCCGCATAGTCCCTCCCATGTGGGTTTTTGAGCCCTGCATGTTTTGAGTGTTGATAAATTGGTTCAAAATAATACCCATCAAATAGCTGGAAGAACCCCTGACCTCCGGCATAAATACAACACATGGGTGTGGGGTATTAGGATCAAACTCCGTGCTGTTTGCATCTTCCAAACCAAGAACTGATCGGGCAAACTCAATCACAGCTATTTGCATCCCCAGACAGATCCCCAGATAAGGAATCCGATTTTGACGAGCATACTTAGCTGCAAGTATTTTACCCTCCACTCCCCTTCCACCAAATCCTCCAGGAACAAGTACTGCATGGGCTCCCTATAACAACAATACGTGCTTGTTAAGATTGTTAAGGGACACATAAAACAGAGTGGGCAGGCACAGCATAGTTCAGCCAAACCTTTAATATTTCCCAAGCTTTCTCATAATTTTCAGGATTCTGCAAAATAGCAAATACTGATGGAAGTTTGTCCTCTAGACTTGAAGAAACAAAATTGAGAGAAAAAAGTGGAATCCGAAAAATTACCTCTTCTGCGGTAATGTCTTCAAGGTCTCCAGCTGGAACCCAATCCACACAAAGTTTCCTGTGACAAGCGACCGAAGCATGCAATAGAGCCTGCAACCAATTTAAGAAGTTTTGCCTTTCAAAGACAACACAACATAGGAAGTTTAAATGAAACAATAGGATGATCAAAGTTTGGGTGCAAATCAACCAATGATTGACAGTTTATGTTCGGGTAGCTTAAATTTTTGAATGTGGTTTTAAGGTTAAAAATAGAGGAAAGAGAGAAGCCCAAAACACAATTGAACAAGCAAGACAAGTTCACCTTCATGATTGAGAGGTAAGAATCGGAGAGTCCTGCATACTTCCCAACAATGGCAACTTTAACCTGTTTTCCAAGTGACAGCTCAGATAAACAAAAGGTAAAAATAGAGCATACAGGGTATATCATCAAAGGTTGTTTATGGGTACATTGGGGAACAACTTGTGGTAAATACCGTTGGAGTTTCAGATAAATTTCTAACTGTGTTTTAAAACACTTAAGTTAAAGGGTACTCTTGAAATCATTTTCGAAATGCTAAAACTAAACTTTAAGGCTAATGCCAAACAAAGAGGCTAAATAAGTAACATACTGGGTCATATAACTTGTCACATAGCTCAGCCCTCAAAGTCCATTCTCCTAAGGAAGGTTCCTTTACAACTCTGCACATTGTAAATAATACAAATTCTGAGGATAAAGATATATAACAATCTATTACAAAATTGATAGTATGTTCGAGCCTTGACAATGATGAACCAATAAAAAATAAAAGAAAAAGCAAGACAAAAGAACCAAGGTCAAATGACATACCCTTTAAGGTTCAATACTCTCAAAATTGCTTCATGCGCCTTCTGGTCCTAAACAATGAAACACAACATCCCAGTTCTTAATGGAGCAAAGAGCTGAACATTTACATTGAATAGGAATGAAATTGACAAGATGCGCTTACTTTCAAAAGCAAAGGAACATGCCAGATGTTTGATACATCATATAGAGTTAAGACATTTTCAACCTGCAATTAAAATGAATCAAAACCTTAGAGAATAAGATCCCACAAAGTTCAATGTACACAAAGTCACAAAGCAACGTCTGAAAATATGATATTTCACAATTCTCTTACCGGAACGTGACAGAATTGAGAAATTTTATCCTTGACATTCTCATCAAGTTTCTGAAATTAAAGTAGGAACTCAAATTCAGTATGTGATGCCAAATATGGGTGGAGTATTTACACTACTGGGGGAGAACAAGAGAGGGAGAGAGAGACCAATGTGCTCCGACATGCTAAAATATTTGGTGTCAATCCCAGGTTTCGCAGTCCCCTAACAGAGTGCTGTGTTGGTTTCGTTTTCTGGAAATTTGTTGCACAAATCAATCCCAACTTCACATGTTCTTCAATTTATAAAATTAAGCATGATAGGCTCATCACTCACCTGCTCACCAACCACGTTCAGAACAGGCACAAGACTGACATGTATCAAGCAAAAGTTTCCAGCTCCTGAAACAACACGAAGAAAAAAAATTACTTCACATATTTACAAATGGATACCTTATTCGTCGAATTCCAACTAGGACAAGCTATCTTACCAACGCGATACGAAAATTGTCCCAAGGCTTCAATAAACGGCATAGATTCAATATCCCCTACATGAGCAAAAAGTAGGTGATCAGGCCCGCCAATCAAGCGATGTGACAAATATTCATAAGCAAGCATACATACCTATAGTGCCACCAAGTTCGATGACACAAACATCGGCTGGACTGTCGTTTCCATCAACCGGGATGGATGCTGCATGTTCAATCCATTCTTGAATGGCATCTGTAATGTGAGGCACCACCTGAACAGTCTTTCCCAAATAATCTCCTCTTCTTTCCTTTTCAATAACTGACTGCAAAAGGGAAAAATAGTTATGCTCAGATTAATCTGACCATTATAATGTAGGAAGCTGAAGAGGGATGATTATAGCATGAATAGATAAAATTACATGCCTGATAAATTTTCCCTGTGGTAATATTGTTGTCCCTTGTCAACTGAATGTCAAGGAAACGCTCATAATTCCCAAGGTCCAGGTCAACCTTCAAAACAACAGCAAGTTTTTTTTGTACACATCAATGGGAAAATCAGAAGAGAGATGTTATGATAATCTATAATCACTCCAACACTCTCCATTAAACACTCCCTTTTGTTGGTCAAAGTAGTGGGACCTACTAAATTTATTCTTGTTTTTTAGGGGAAAATATACAAAATTTAAGTGGATCCCACAACTTTTTAACAAATCCATTGCATTTCTTAAAACAATATCTTTTATTAATTTTTCCAAATACTTTTTGTCCCCCACTTAGGGGGGCTTATGCCGGAACAACATTTGTAAACCCAAAACTTTTCATGCACACGGCCATTGACTTGGCACATAGCTTATCAAGAAGGTTATCTAGAAAAAAGAGGTATGAAACGCATAATAGTTCCAACAATAGAAATGGGCTAACATAAAGTGAAGTCGGCCAAAAAGCAAACCAGAAACTTTTGTAATAAGGGAATATATCCCAAGATGAGTTGCAGAAAATTATTTTCTTAGACTTAAGTAAGATCGAGTATATCCTCCCAATAATAATAACCATTATATGACAAATGAAATCTAGCAAGGCCAACATAAAGTTTCTTTTACACTATGTTTGGTTCAAGGAATTACGAAGGAAAGAAAAAGAATCATGTTTTTCTTATTCTTAGCTTATTTATGTTTATCATTTTCTTTTCCTTCCACTTTTACTTTCTTTTCCCCTTTAACCAAACATGAAAAATTATTTTCCATATCATTTTCTTTTCTTTTCCCTCTCAAATTCCTTGAACTAAGCATAGTGTTAGTTTACTCCGTATTTATTGTTTTAGGGGTCTCCCCAACCGCCCAATAGTGTAAATGCATTTTTCTATGAAAAGCAGAATACCTAACCTCCTCAAACTTTTTATTCATTAATAACTAATAAAAATTACCAATTATTAATAAGCAAAAAAACAAGCTTTTATTAGAAAATGATGATGAGTTACAAATAAAACATGAGAGTGGATCTCACTCCCAAAAATGTTATCTCATCCCATATCCCACATTCCAAATGCTGCCACATAACACAACAATGAAATGACGCAACATTTTTGTGCTATGTGACAACATTCGAAGAGTGGGCATCTAACATTTTGTTGGGGAGGGAATCCCCAACCATAAAAGATTACCAATTAAAACCTTGCCTTTTTTGGTTTGTTAACCACTGCACTAAGGGCAGCCATTGATAAAGTTTTCCATATTGAATCAGCTTTAACTGAATCAGATTACTCAAACAGTCCTATGACAAAAACTACTATGCAATTCTCACCTCTCCTCCATCATCCAACACGTATACTTCCCCGTGCTCATACGGAGACATGGTCCCAGCATCAGTGTTCAAGTAAGGATCTGTATAGAAGGGAACCCAAGCTTTAGAATTTTGTAAGATGATACAAAGGAAAAGCTTTGTTAGATGTTTCCAGCTTCTATGCAGCAGCTCAATATGAATAGGGTATGTGAAAAGAAATAAAGAGTAACAAAAAGTTCAAATCTTTGGCGCTTTTCTTTTTCCCAATTTTGTTTTCTGTCAAAAGTGAATCAACTTTTATCAATTACTCCCTTCTCCAAATTAAATCACACATTTCTTTTCATCCATTCTAAAACAAAACTAACACTTCCTCCTTTTCCATTATTCCATTTTGTTTTTAAAAGAACAAAAGGTTTACATATTTCTGTCTCTGCTAGAGGAATTCTCACCACAAACTTTTAACTATTCAAGACTTTTTTCAGAATTTATAAAGGGAAACTAGGAATCAAATTAAGAAACAGAAGGAGTAATACTTAAATTTAAAAAAAAAAAAGAGAAGAAATGATTGCAACGATGTATGAGTGTCTTGTTTTGTTTTTTTAATAAATTAAACACTGTAAAAAGTATTTTTAGAGAGAGAAACACAATGTTCTGTTTGTTTGATTAAGACCACCAAAACACATACAATAAATCCCTAACAGACACAATTAGTTAATAACAATAATTATAATAAGTTTAACGAGAGAAGAGAGAGAGAGAGAGAGAGACCAATCTTGATGCAAGTAACTCGAAGTCCACAGGCCTTGAGGAGGAGACCAACACTGCTAGCAGTGACGCCTTTACCCAGCCCGCTGACCACTCCTCCCGTTACCAAAACGTATTTCATTTCTCCTCTGCTGCTTCTCGATCAGGAAATGAAGACGAAGAAGAAGAAGACTATAGAATGTGCTGATGAATTGCAGAAATCTAATGGTTGATGTTGAGATTTGGGAAGACGCCATGGCGGCTTTATATAGCGGAGTGCTAAGGAACTTATTCACTAAACCTCTCTTCTTTGTCCCCCTTTTTTTTCTAGTGGACCCTGTCAAAGTTAACCTATTCCTCCCAAAACAAACTCATTCGGTAATCGGTATATAACTTAAAAATGATACCCCTTCCCCAAAAGAAAAAAAATACTCCGTTTTTTGTGTCTTTAGTGTTATCTACTACGGAGTATAAGAAAAAAAATTCTTAAATAATCTTACTATTTTCACATTTTTAAAAATAATCTTACTTTTCATTATCACCGGAAATAATTTATCTTTTTGCATGTGTGCGAGTTTAGGATCGTCGTTAAAAATTTAAAGGCTACTTAACGGAATTCTTGAAAAATACTCGTTTTTTGCAAATAAATGAAAGCTGAGATTATTTTGGAAAAATTTGATTTTTTCTTTTTTTTAATTTAAAATTTAAAATTTATGTTTTTAAAAGTATAACAGTAAACTCTTATTAAAGATTTGTCACAATTTTTTGAGAAATATGTCAATTTAGAAATTTTGTTTTTTGCTTTGGGGGAAATATAATATTGAATTATCGAAGAATAATTCAGAGTATCACTCATTATAAAATTAACTACTGCCGTTTTGGAGAAAAATAGTGTGCCACTTTCACAACTTTTGAATTATTATTTTGGGGTGAAAATTTGTACTGAGTTATCGAAAAAAATCACAAGTTGGATAGTTCAATTTTAGAAAAAATAATACAGGCCATAAAAGATTATCAATAAACATTTTGGAGTGTTGTACATAAAAAATTGCAATACAACAAAAAATGTAGTGAGTTATATAAAAATAAAAGTTACATTTCAAAGAAAAAATTATAATTGTGTTATTTTCATAATTATTGTAATGTTATTTTGCAAAAAACATATACTGTATATAGAATTATCGAAAAATATTCACAAGTTTTGTAGTATCATTTTTTTAAAAATAATAATAGTATAATATACAAAAACAATTCGAAGTGCCGCTCAAGAAAAAATTGCAACTTACCAAAGACGTAGTGAGTTGTGAAGTAAATAAATTAGCTCCATTGTGTAAGATAATTTATTGATCAATTATTACCAGACTATCGATTATTAAAAAATAATTAGTTTCACTCTAAAAAAGCACTTAACTTTAGTATTATTTCTAAAAACATTTTTTAAAAATACATTTAAATTTAAAGTTAGAAATTAAAAAACGAAAAAAAGAGAATTTACCTAAAATAATATCACCTTTCATGTATTTGCAAAAAAATAGGCATTTTCCAAAAATTCTGTTAAGTGGCCGTTAACTTTTTAAAGGCGACCCAAGACTCGCACAGATGATGAAAGGTGGGATTATTTCTTCGATTTCCTCTTCCCTCTTTGACAATTGGCTGGCAAGATCTTCTTTGCCTTCCTGTAACACTCTAATCCGTCCAGGTCTGCAGTCCCTTTTAAATTAAAGTATTAATTTGGAAATTATAAACATTCAAAAACATTTCAAACAATTTAACTTTATTCCATAATAAATAATTCCGGATAATAACGGAGTATTTAAACGTTGCGGAAGTGAATTAATTCATAAGATACAAATTTGAATAAATTCATGTCTTTTCAACAGTAATTGGTTTCACACATCCTTTTCGATTGTCTCGCCCCATCTGCCACCAGGAATAATCCAATCATTCATTCTGTCTACCTGCGTATAGCAAATAAAACACACTACACGCTTAGCGGTGAAGATGAGTAAGCATATCTAAAGAGTCAAACACTCATATAAATTGAATCTCAATTCATAATTAAATCACTTGATATCATGCACTTAATGTTCAGTTCAAATATTTAATAATCAATATTCAATATTCATCATTCAATATTCAACATTCATATTCAACAATCAATACTATCTTTAAATTATGCTTAGTCTAAGGCCAATCTCATTAATTTTTACCAACTCTTAAACTAATTCTAGTTTAAGGTAGTTCTAAGTTCTAACCAACTTTTAAACTAATTCTAGTTTAAGGTACTCCTAACCAACTCTTAAGCTAGGTCATTAGTTTAAGATACATATTTTTCGATGGATTTACCAACTCTTAAACTAGCCTTCGCTTACGGTACAATTCAGAAAACCGAACAGCAGAATACTAACTGTCGGGTTGGGTGGTATCTCAAACGAGTGATTCTCAAGTTTGGTTTATGGACCCCGTACGTACGTTTTTACTCAAGGCCACTGAATATACATTTTTATACCCGCAAGACCCATTCTAATCAGAGGTCTATCTTAGAGGTCTAATCACAGGGACAGGGAGCCATTGTGGGAATATCTTCGAGAGACACACGCCGCTCTCCCGGCTGACATGGCATGGGGGGTGGTGGGTGATTTCAACTGTCTGCTCGATCCCTCGGAGAAGAAAGGAGGCCGGCCGTATGCTCCAGTCAAATATCGGCCTTTTGTTGAATGTGTGGAGGATTGTGAACTGGTTGATTCTCCTTTTATTGGGGAGGATTATACCTGGTTCAACAACCGAGTGGGCGGCGTCGAGGTTCGGAGCCGGCTTGACCGATTGCTGTTTAACCAGCCGTGGATGGATATGTTCTCTTGTTTGGTGCATCACTTGGATAGAGTTGGATCTGATCATGCTCCTCTGTTGGTGGAGTGTAAGTCTCATGAACGTCCTCCTGCACGGCCTTTCACTTTCCTTAATGTCTGGACAGAGCATGAGGATTTTCAGAGAGTGGTGGCTGATTCTTCGCGGGAGGACATTACTGGCAGTCCCATGTTCGTATTTGGTGCAAAGCTCAAGCGTCTGGCACATAGCTTGAAGAGATGGAACCGAGACACCTTCGGTCACATCTTTGACAGGCTTAAGGTGCTTGAG